CCTCCCACAAACGAACACAATTCCAGGCTTGCGAAGCAGCCCAGGCTTTGATCTCGGCTTGGACTTCCTCAAACGCTGTACTGCAAGGCTCCTGCAACTTGTGTGGTTGGACTTCCCCGCTGCCCGGGGCTGCCTTGTGGAGGCGCCCCCTCCCGCAAACGAAGCAAAGTAGATGGCACAATTCCATGCATGGGCTTGCGAAGCAGCCCAGGCTTTAATCTCGGCTAAGCCCTCTGCTTGCAACTTGTGTGGAGGCGCTGCCCCTTCCACAAACCAAGGAAAATCTCGCACTTACCTGGCTGCAGCTTGTGTGGTTGGACTTATCTCGGCTTGGACTTCCTTAAAGGCTGCACTTCCAAAAACTCCCTGCAAGGCTGCCTTGCCAAATCAGCCCTCTGCTTGCCTGGTTGGGCTTCCCCCTCCTGGAAAAATCTCGTACTTACCTGGCCGCAACGTGTGGTTGGACTTCCCCGCTGCAGAATGGGGCCCCACAAGCAAAGCAAAGTAGCTGGCACAATTCCATGACGTTTGTGAAGCGCTGTACTTCATAACTCCTGCCTTGCCAAACCAGCCCTCTGCTTGCCTGGTTGGGCTTCCCCCTGCCTGGAAAAATCTCGTACTTACCTGTCTAGTTGGACTTCCCCGCTGCCCGGAGGGCTGCCTTGTGCCCCTCCCACAATAGATGGCGCCATAACTCCCTGCAAGGCTGCCTTGCCAAATCAGCCGGCTGCACTTCCTTACTCCCTGCCTGGTTGGACTTCCCCTTGGAAAATATCCTACTTACCTGTCTGGAACTTGTGTGGCTCGACTTCCCGCTGCCCGGGGGCTGCCTTGAGGAGGCACTGCCTCCCACAAACAAAGCAAAGTAGACGGCGCAATTCCATGCATGAGCTTGCGAAGCAGCCCAGGCTTCAATCTTGGATGGACTTCCCCCTCGTACTTGCCTGGCTGGAACTTGTGTGGCTGGACTGGAGGCACTGCCCCTCCCAAAGTAGATGGCACAATGTCCTGCATGAGCTTGCGAAGCAGCCCAGGCTTCGATCTCGGCTTGGACTTCCTCACAGGCTGCACTTCCTCAACTCCCTGCAAGGCTGCCTTGCCAATCAGCCCTCTGCTTGCCTGGTTGGACTTCGCCCTGTCTGGATTAATCTCGTACTTACCTGGCTGGAACTTGTGTGCGCTGCCTGGGGCCTGCCTTGTGGAGACAGATCTCGGCTTGGACTCCCTCAAATCAAAGGACTGCCTCAACTCCCTGCAAGACTGCCTTGCCACAAAATCGGACCACTACTTGGGCCGGAACTTCTTCGCTGGTTGGGCTGCCTTGTGGAGGCACTCTCCCTACCTGGCTGGTCTGGTACCTGGCTGGTACTTGTGGGCTGGACTTCCCCGCTGCCTGGGGGCTGCCTTGTGGAGGCACTGCCCCTCCCACAAACGAAGAAAGTAGATGGCACAATTCCGGGCATGCACTTGCGGCAGCCCAGGCTTCGAAAGACATGGAAGGAACCCGCATCAGCTGGCGGGACTTCCTCAAAGGCTGGACTTCCTCAAATCAACTCCGCTACCTGGCAGGCTGCCTTGTGAGGCGCTGCCTTGTGGAGGCACTGCCGCAAAAAGTAGATGGCACAACTCTAAATGCAACCATTCCCATCAGCCCAAACCGTGACTTGGCCCCATCGTAACATACGCAAAGAGCGGCAGCCTTTGGCGAGCGAGTGAGTGAGTGAGTGAGTGAGTGAGTGAGTCAGTGAGTCAGTGAGTCAGTGAGTCCGTGAGTCAGTGAGTCAGTGAGTCAGTGAGTCAGTGAGTCAGTGAGTGAGTCAGTGAGTGAGTCAGTGAGTGAGTCAGTGAGTGAGTGAGTCAGTGAGTGAGTCAGTGAGTGAGTCAGTGAGTGAGTGAGTGAGTGAGTGAGTGAGTGAGTGAGTGGGTGGGTTGAGTCAATGAGTGAATGAGTGAGTGAGTGAGTGAGTGAGTGAGCGAGCGAGCGAGTGAGTGAGCCAGTGAGTGAGCCAGTGAGCGAGCGTGAGTGGACGCACTGAATTGTGCCATAAATTATTCTTAGGGGGCTAAAAAATTGTGCCATCTATTTTGCATCCCGGTTGACCCCCAATTATCTGGCGCCGGCGCGCGGAGTGTAAATTATCTAAGTTGAAGAAAAGTAGATGGCACAGACCATTTTTTTGAGCCATCTATTCTCCGGGTAGAGCTACTGCTGCTGCCGCGGCTGCTACCGTTGCTGTGCTGTTGCCGTTGCCGTTGCTGGCGCTGTTGCTGTTTCTCTTGCTGCTGCTCCAGCCAGCACAGGGCCGGCAGTGTCGATAAGGACGATGAAAATTGTGACGGTTCTGGTGAGGATTCTGACAATGCGGTTGAAGGTTGTGGTGGTCAAGGCAACAAACAGGGCTCCATCCGACCCAATCATTTGCCACTACTAATTCTATATATTACATACTAAATCAATACTATTTTTCCAGACAGCCAAGCTCCTCGGATGTGCTTTTTAGGGGCCACCCTAGAAATGATCAACAAGGCTGCCTTGCGGTTTCTATTATTGGGTTCCCTTCATAAGGTCTTACTGAAAAGTTGAACTCTGACCATTTTTCTTTCAAACAAATGGTGTGCTTTGCGTAAGCGGCTTTTATCAGTATTGCTTTTCCTTTGCAGCTACTACTCAAAGTTGCATTCAAATCAAAGGGGTCTCGCTTTCCAATTTGAACCTAATACTTGAACAAAGCAGTGTGAACCAGTTCTGGCCAAAAGCCGGGGGACCGAAATAATAAACCTTCCGGGGGGTAGGGGGATCGTGTTGCTAAAGTTGCCCAACGCACTTGTGTGGGGAACTCAAAAACCGACGGGCCGGGGCCTCGCCAGCATGCATTGCTGCATCCTTCTTGGTGGCTCCGGCAGCAATGGCCGCCTGACAGCCGGCGTAGCAGCAAGCAGCTGCTTTCATTGCCTCTTGAGCTTTGCGACAAATGAAGCTGCGCCATCCAAACCGCAACCTGCTTGTGGGTCACGTTACGGTGAGACGCATACAGTCGTAGTGTTTGCCAAGTGACTTAAGAAGTCTTGGCTGAAACTCGGCCTTTCTACGAAAGCTTGTTTGACCCCAATGACGCATAGCCGCATAGCCTTTCAGGATCGGGTTGGGGTCAAAGCATGACTTTGTGTCAGAGGAGACACAGGGGTGGGACAAGACGAGCGGGCGGCACACACATGTCACATCTGCTTCTTCCTTTATTCATTATTATTCTTCTTCTCTGTATGTTTCGCATTGCGAATGCAGTTTGCAGCACTCACAACACACACACACATCCGAATTCCGGTCAGCCTTGCCAGCGGCTTCGCTGGCAACTCCCAGCCGCGCATGGCTTAGAACCGTGTCCTCCGGTCAATTAATGGACAGAAACAAAACAGCAAGGCTGCAATTCTGAAGATGCTGTGGACAACCCCACATGTCACTTCTGGCTTCATGCGTGATCCTGGGGGTTGACACAGCCTTCACGGGAAGATTGTGCTCGGTGCCTGTGCGCTCGGCAGTCCTTGGTGGCGTCTGCCGCCGCTTGGAAGACCACCTTGGCCACCTGGCTCGAGAATAGATGAGCTCAGGGTTCAAACAATTTCTGCAATATCTTGTTGCGAGTTCAAACCCCCGCCCCCCCCCCCCCTTCAAGGTTGACAAGGTTTGGGAGGAGCAGAAATTTGGGGCTGCCTGGAGATACCCCCTCCTAAGAACTTGAGGTCTGGATGAAGGGACTTGAGGCTTGAGGATTGTCATGGATTTGAGGGACTTTGGATATGTAAAGAAATCTTTGGCTTGGTTGTTGGCCCAGTTTTTTGTGGAAACCAGGAATGGTTGGGGGTGAGTTTGCTGGAGCTGTTTAAAGGGGCCTGTTTGCTTTGGCAAGGGGGGTGGCAGCGGGGAACCTTTCATTAGGGAGGGGTGCTTGGGAGGGCCCAAACATGGAGGATTTTTTAAAGGAAACCTTGTTGGTTTAGTATTCGTGGGAACCTGGGGGGAAAAGAGGAAACCTTTAATCTGGGGGTGGGGGTAATTACTGTTATTTGTTCCCTGACATTACCCTCGTCACTTCTCACATCTGTCTTCCTTGTGTGCTTGCAGGCTGCCCGATCTGTGATACCCGCCTGCTGGCTGCAAAAGCCAGCGGCGATAACCACTTTTTGTGCCGCCTCGCCCGCAATGCTTGCAACCTGCGTGGCAAATGTGAATTAGTTTTAGCCTCTCCAAGACTTGCCTGGCATGAACTACCTGGTGCACACCTAGTGGTTCGGCAGCAATGGCTGATTGGGACTGAGAAATGTTGAATGCACATATCAGCACACTGCAGCTTGCAAAGAAATGGAGACAGCTCGTTCCAGCTGCCTGATAGGCAGACTTGCCCTCAGCAATGGCTGCATTGGCCGCTGTGGACGCGCTTGCTTTGGCAGCAGCAGTGGCTCGTCGACGGCTGCTACAACCACCCATCCGAGGGTGGATCTGAACAGTGCTAAAAGATATTGAGGTCTGCTCTGAGACTGTCGGATCTACACACTACGCTGTGGGTCCGCAAATGCCATGTTTATAGATGTTTATAGCAAAACATCATGGCATAGCATACGAAACGCCGGGAGGCACTGATAGGAAGGCTGTGGCAAGGTCCCGGCCATGGCGCCAGGGAACTGGAGCCCAGAAGGCTGGAACTGCGCGGGCGATGTGGGCATGCAGTCCAGTAAGCAGTGAGTGGTGTAGTGGGGGGCGTCTGCTTCCTTTCGGATTACCTTCAGAGCAGTCCAATGGAGTCCCCGTGTTGAGATAGACCCATGCGATCATGCGTGTCCAAATCCTTAATTTTGATCGCGCGCATCAAAAGCTCACGCAGTCATTAAAATCTTGGCGGCCTCAACGGGGGATCGCGCAAACGGGGTCTTTCCCTGGCGGCTTGGGACGATTTTAATGTTCATTGTTTTCTTCTGACTGAAACTGCCTGAAGCTGCTTGAAACTGCCTGAAATGCAAGCCCCGTCACGCGTCCCCCGATAAGGGCTTTCTGACAATTAATTGTCATCAAGGCTTCGGCCGAGCGTGGGTTCCGAAATTCGATTCAGGTCCACCTGACAAGGAAAACCGCGGCCTGGACCTCCGTGCTGAGCCGGCCCTCGAGTCAGAGTTTGCCAATGAAACTTCAGCACTGGCACACTTCAGCAAATCTTGGCGCCGGACCTGTGGTTTGTGAGCCAGAGCGATGGGATGGTTCCTGGCTCTGTGGCTCTGGATCTGCTCCAGGTGTCACCAGTACCTCAAACAGAAATCGCTTGAACTAATTGCCCGAGGGGCATCACGCAAAGGCATGCAACGGTGTGGACAATTGCAATTTTGTTGGGTCATGACATGTGATACGCACAAGCAACTCACAGCCTTCACAACAACCTGGCATGCTCGCTTCTCACGCATTTTTTGCCCGGTGAACATCAAAGGATAGATAGATACGCGGGATAGATAGATAGATAGATAGATAGATAGATAGATACGCGGGAGATAGATGGAGAGATAGATGGATAGATGGATAGATGGATAGATAGATAGATAGATAGATAGATAGATAGATAGATAAATAGATAAATAAATAGAAAGAGATAGAGAAAGAGATAGAGAAAGATATAGAGAGATAAATAGAAACTAGCCATACACACACAATCACAACCACAATCACAAACACAAACACAAACACAACACACAAGCACAAGCACAAGCACAAACCCCAAACCCCAAACCCCAATTCCACACCCCAAACACAAACACAAAACACACAACACACACAAACAGACACACACACACACACACAGACACACACACACACACACACTCACACACACACACACACACGCACTCACACACACACACACTCACACACACACACACACTCTCACACACACACACTCACTCACACACACACACTCACACACACACACACACACACACGCACTCACACACACACACACTCACACACGCACTCACACACACACACACACTCACACACACACACTCACACACACACACACACACACACTCCACACACACACACACCCGCCCGCGCCCACGCCCACACCCAAGCATTAACAAATACACCCACGCACGCACCTGCACTCTGGCTAGAGCGCATGCGCGTTCTCGCAACAATGGGAACGGGGCTTCAAGCGGCTTTGCCCATTCCGACATGAACTGTGCCAAACAGGCTCTTGATGGGACTAGGACAAGCTGGTGTCGACGGACAACATCAGGCTTTAGGGCCCTGACAAGTGCTCGGACCAGCGAATCCGCCAAGCATGCAAAGACTGTTGCAATTGATAACTATGCCGCCTCTGGATGCCCAGAGTTCCACAAGCACTTTGGCGGCTGAAATGCAGCTGTGGCACCGCGACAGGTGTTAGGTGCTTGGCATACTCCGCTGCTCGCTTTGCCGCATCAGCACAAAGCTCGCCTGTGACCGTGCAAGCCACTACGAAAGCGACAAACACAGTGACATGACACATCGATGAACACTCGGCCCAGAAGCGAAACCGTATTGGTGGCACTTCACTTTTTGTTACTCAGAACAGGGGCAAATCTGCCTAACGCAGCTGGCTCGCGCGTGTGTGCTTGGAAGTTCCCGAACGCTTCAAATCCCGACTTGACTTTGGACCAACAAGGGGGTTCGGAGGGAGAGCTCTACCATGCTGTTAAAGGTGTTTGCCGTCAAGGTCACTAGCTGAAGCCCAGTCAGGCATGCCGAGGCTGATGCACAGATTGAAATTGACTCCAGTGAGGGAATGGTTTGCACCGTGCGGCGCCTTGCTGAGCAGGCGCGCAGGACAGTTTGCAATCGTTGGCTTGCTACTATAGCACCTATAGCACGCCAAAAGGGGCATGTCTGTCGTTGGTTGGTTGGTTCGTTAGTTCGTTGGTTGGTGGGTGGCTGGGTAAGCTGAGGTCACCCGGCGTCTTTCAGCAGTAAGTGGGGGCGTCGGTGTTGGTGTAGGTGCTGGTGTACCGCTGGTGGTGGTGGTGGTGGTGGTGGTGGTGGTGGTGGTGGTGGGGGTGGCGGTGGCGGTGGCGGGGGCGGCGGCGGTTTTGGTGGAATTACTTGTGCGTGTACACCAGTACTACGGCCACGACGCATGCATTGCTCATCAAAAAAGCAGCATGCGCAGCCAAAATAAACATTCGGCACTCCCCAGGCCCGCTCGAGAACCACCGTTGACAGCTCGAGGTCCAGTTTGCTTTTACCCGTACAAACCCTAAGCCTTGAAGATTGAACATCCTAAACTGCAAACCCAACACGTTGTAAATTTGAAGCCCGAACACCCACAAAAAACCCAACCACCTATAAGCCTAACAGCCCTTAAGCTGTAAAATTGGGGGACACAAAAAACCTGAGCCACACGACACATTTGAAAAGAAGACAACCTTGTAGTTGAGCAATGCAAACAAGGGACATCTAAAGGCAAGACAAGCTCTTTTCAGGTTCCAGGACTTCGATTATGTTGTCCTGATACTCCAAGACTGCAGTCCCGTGTAAAGTTGAAAAATACAAGGTGGTCCAAGGTTGGAATTGAACATCATAGTTGTCCAAGGCATTGCCCAGTGTAAAATAGGGCCAACACAAGCAGTAAAATGCTCTGGTGCACTTTGTGCGCTGATCCCCGATGTACCGGGCACTGGCGATGCCATTTGCGTCAGGCGTGAGGCCAATGAATTCTCGAAAACCTGCCGATCCGTTGAGCCAACCTGCGTCCTCCTCAGACGCACCGTCAGCTCGCGCAGCACGCCGCGCGACCGTGCCAGCCACTAAGGCGGCCAGCTCGGCGGCCTCAAAGATGGAAAACTGAAGGAAAGAGAATTGGGAAGATAAGCTTATAACATCTTATAACTGATAAGTGTATCCTATGGGGGCCCAAGGTTTATGCTGTATCGATATGCGGGAGGGGGTTGCTGGCTCAATTGTGCTTCAAGATCGGGCAAAAAAGCGCCTCTGAACGCAGCAATTTCAATCAGAACTCCGTGAAGCATTCTCTACCCGCACCTCGGACTGCTCAGCCCCTACAGCCAGCGCCGCCTGCGCTGCAGCCTCGCCTTAGGCAGAAGCTTGCTCGCAAGCACAAAACGCTGCCATTGACAAGGACACTGTGCATGTGGCAAACTGCGACAGAAGCGCCAAACCACGGGTCACTCACTGCCTTTGGCAACTGACATTGCTGATGCTGCAAACTCCCACCTGCTTGCTCGGCTGCAATGCACGCAAGGCTGCCGGATAAAATTGCCTTGGGACTAAGCCAGCTGCACATCTGATTGCAAAAAATGCATGAAACCCTTGGTCGAAACAAACAGACCATGGGAAAACACATTCCAGCCATGCTGGGGTTGGCATTTTATTGGGTTTGTTGGTTTATCGTCCCAGGGAAAATGCTGCGCAGAATGTGCATAACAAATAGGACTGTTCAGCACGCGAAATGTACGTGTTGGTTTAAGTAGGTTTTGGACATTATGTTACTATTTATGTGTATAAATATATATATATATATATATATATGTCCGTATGTTATGCACGGCATGGAAGCACAAGGCAACGCAATGCCCATAGGAGAAAGTGTAATCAAATAATTAGTTTAGGCTCAGGCTGCGTGGATCAATTCCTTGCAATTTCACAAGCAGCCGCTGCAATGCGCATGCTCATGTCACTGTCTTGGCCTTGCACACAACGTATGCTGCGAGGAGTGAGGAATTGCAACTACAGGCTCTATCTGCAGCTTGGGTGCATCCGAAGCTGCAGCCTGAATGAATACGTGATGGAAGCGAGCATGTTGCTTTCCTAACAAAATGATACATGCGTAGAGACGTCAGGAAGCAGTGCAAACAATTCAGCGGTGCAAAGTACAACGACGGACTCAACGGCCAGGGCCTCGCCGGCGTACATTGCAGCCTCCTTCTTGCTGGCTCCGGCTGCCATGGCAGCCTCAGGCAGAGCATCAGTTGGACTGACCTGCGTTTACACTGTCTTTAAGTCTTTGGCGTTAACCACCAAGTATGAGTAAAACAATATGGTTTTACATCACAACCACCAAGGACAATACGCGGCTCTAGGGACACGCCATGCGCATCCATCATGCTCTTAGCATTCCAATCGCAGCGCATGCAGACCAAACGCCATCATAGCGTCACATACAAATCGAACAGTCTGTTGAATCTCAGGCCTTGCCAGCGGCTTCGCTGGCAACTCCCAGCAATGCATGGCTAAGGATCGTGTCCTGCATCAGGCCCAGCTTCAACGACACATCATTGATATTCAAACAATAAAGCTCCAGTCTATTACACCCCAAGGAGCATCATAAAATCGTAGCTGGCATGTTGCAATGCTTGAGCAGCAACACTGTAGCCTTTCAATATATGCACTGCCAACAAGTCTTTTAGCCATCCTTGGTGACCTCTGCTGCTGCATGGAAGGCCGCAATCGCCACCTGGCTTGATAAAGCGAATGTCTGGCTGTGGCCACTGCCAATCCTGGCTCCGTGCAGTGTGGCACTCCACCAACAAGCAGCACCAGGTTTCTCGGAAGTACTAGAACGGACAAACGCCAAACCAGGCGTGCAATCATCCGACGTTTGAGCTTTGCTGAAACTTCAACATCCAGTTAAATTTCCTCCCCATGTCTGCGATAGGTATGCTGCCTGCTCGCTACAAAAGCCGCCGGCGATGACCACACTCTGTGCTGCCTCCCCTGCGATTCGCGCAACCTGGGCGGAACAACTGATCAAGCCAACTTGAACGTCTTGCCACGCTGGCCTGGTACCCAAACTAACAATCATCGTCAAACAAACAAATAAAACAACAACTGCCACCATGAGGATGTCCCATAGGGTCCATTGCTAAATCTGGCAGCAAAACCCTGAGGGACCCATGCACCATCATCTGCCTCGTAGACACTTCTTCCCTCAGCGATGGCTGCATTGGCTGCTTTGGCAGCTGCTGCGGAGGCGGCAGCAGAAGTTCGGCGACGGCTGCCACAACCACCCAATGTGCGCCGCAAGGCGCTACCCATCAGAGGGCAGAACTCGGTTGTTGCAAAACAGACTGTAGGTACTGGACGACATCATACTGACTATCCTTGGCTCATGTTGGGACAGAAGAGAATCTATTCTGCTGCCGATGCTTACAGCTCTGAAAAAGGCATGCATGACGGCCTCACCCGTGGCTGGGCACGGGGAAGGTCAGAGCCCCGAGGCTGCAACTGCACGGGCCAGGGTTTAGGCTGGCGAGATGCAGCCTTTGTGGAAGGTTCAGCTTCACCATACTTCACGTTCGAAAGCTGTGGCTAGTTTGACTTAGCACATCTTAGCACCGAGCTCATTCTTCTGCAACGCAAAGATCAATTTCGAAGCATGGGGCACGGTGAGGAGCTGCACGCAAAGCACCTGGCACGCAGGAAAGATAACTTGGGTTCTGCGGACCTCCTTTCAGCTGTGTCTGCCTTGACCGCAAGCATAAGTTAGCTCAATTTGCTTCATATCATACTCCTGGCATGTCCGGCAAACTGCGGCTGCGTTTCTCCGACTGGCAAATTTCATCTATGCTGGCGCCCTCGCGCAACAGTCGCATCTCATACCTGGTGCGGGGGGGGGGGGGCGAGAGCAATGTGGCTTTAGAGTCTCGGCAATGCACCACAAAATACGCACATCAGGCTCCTTGAAGCCGTGTAAGTCTTTCTGATCCCAAGCAGGGCAGAAAATCGCACAAGATCACACCTATACCTATAACATGAGCTTGTCAGCTATTCTTGAAGCCTTTGCGATGCAAACAGGGGCAACAGGCCGAACAGCGCCGCCGATCATCCACTGCGCCCGGAAACTAACAACTTCACGCACAACCTTGAAAAACAAATGCCTCCAACACACTCTCGCTACTGCGTGCGTCAAGAAAGTGCTCGGCTGTGCTGTCCCAGCTTCACCAGTGACAGCCGCGTCTCCGAGGGCTTCCGCACACGATGCCGACAGCTGGACACCGCACCAAAGGTCCAGCGCTCCAACCTAATGCGCTGAGCAAGTGACGAGAAGGCAGATCTCTACTATGATCTCTACTACTTCACACTGGATTGCAACTGCTCTGTCCGCTGTGCCTTAAGCCAGGCACCACAACGCTACACAAGACGTGCTGGGGACTCTTCATTCCAATCGTTGGTTGCCACAGCCGCACGTAGAATTGTGAACTAGGCCATAGATCTATACCCTGGGGGGTAAAAGGCTTTTAAAACAAAGCCCGTTACATGAACATCCTTTGTTTGACTAGCTGGGGGATGGGGGCCTGGGTGGAATTCCAACTTTACATCGTCAGCAACAAGTCTTTTCCACACCAAGCTAGACTTGCGAAGGCCTCAACGTTAAAGCAGCACATTTCTGCATCATCAATGGAACAATCATGGTCTTCCGAAACATCCATTCAGCAGGACCTTTTCAAACCCAGCAGAAAACAACGCCAGCCAGGACGAATGTGAGTGGTTTTTCGCCCTGCCAAATTTCACGGCGTTTCACGGTCTTTCATTGTAAAAAAGGGCGTTCACGCCAATTTCACGGTATTTTCACGCTTTTCCCTTTGGCGATGTCCCATTGCTAAGCCCATGATCAGTGTCTTTAGAAATCCCACAAAGTTGAAGATCTTGAGCATTGACCAGCTTCAACATGTCTACATGGTTTTCGCGAGGCTTTGGAAAGCGTACTTTCAGCCACAAGCACTGCAAAGCCATGTGGCCACTAATGCGGCCAACACAAAACGCTCAACCCAATTAAAAGCGTCCAGCTTGCAAACAAAGGACGTTCCCCACATTTCACGGCCGCTTCCTAAAGGCCTTTCTTTTTAAGGCCCCCGAACCCCAGGGTATATAGTATAGATGTATGCAAACTTACAGACGCTATTAAATCGCTACATATAATACATTACACTATCTATGGAATATACAAATACAGTGATATGTGTCTCCTTTGAAACAACTTGCCCCTATAAAATTCGGACATGTTGGGCTGAAAGCTGCAACAACCCTCAACTCCAGGCTCGCGGGCATGTCAGCTGCAAAGACGACCACATCGTGGCCGTTTCTGTCCTACGGATATGAGGGTGTCTGGATTGATGGATGCCAAGCCCATAACCTTCCAAAATGTTGCCTAAGCATCGACAACATCGAGGCTCAGTTGAGCCAACTGTGCACCATAACTGCAGTAGTGTTGCCGATTAAAGGCCAGAAGTGAGAACATCACGCGAATCCACGGCATGGATTTGTCTGAAAAAGTAGTGGAGCTCGGAATTCCATCTTCCTTCAAGACAACCTCAAAGGGATTCCATTATTTCCATATTGACAACGGCTCAGAAAAAAAAAAAAAAAAGGCCTGGCCCTCCAGGCTGAGCCAGCCCTCCGCAGTGCGGATCTCGAGGCCGGGCACTTGACCCAGCCGCTTTGCAGTGAGAAAGCCCGGGTCCTGCAAAGCGAATCGGAAATTCACTCAGACGATCCAAAACGATCCAAACGATCCAAACGATCCAAACGATCCAAACGGTCTTGGCACTTCGGGCAGCTTCGCGGGTCTTTTCAAAGGTGGCCCTGTCGGTGGCATTTGCAATGACGATCGAACTGTATTGGCAGCAGGGCGCATTTACACCACGACAACATGTTGCTGTTGTTCGAAGCTCTGTCAGAAAGTCTCAGTAGCGCACGCGAATTCACAAGTCCGAACATGACTGAAGGGTTGTGCGCTCGTGCCCTGTCCGTGTGCGCTGCCATGGCGAGGGAGGCCGCACCTGCAATCGAGGGGAGTTTGCAGGGGGTATGGAAAGATCAAGTTCAAGGTTGAAGACTGCCCAACTCGTGCATGACAGGGAAATCCAGCTGCAATCTAGCTTTCGCAGTCACAATGTTGCAATACTGTGTGTACGGAGCTGGATAAGTACGCATGGCAAACTTACTTGCCACATCTCAGTCCCTGAGCTGGGACCGAACTTGCCGTGTTTGCGTGCCGACAGCAGGCTGCAACTGCAACTCTGCAAAACCGTGACTCTCGCATGGCCTTGAGCATCTTGGGAGCTTGCATCTGCGCTCCTCAAGCATACTGACTGCCCGCCAAAAAATCCGAATAGTTCAATTCACAACCCACAAAGCCAGTTTCCTACAACACACGACGCATACCTAAAACCATATACATATATATATATATATGTATAAGCAAGCACACGCACGCACACACAATTGCACAAACAGACACATTCACATTTCACATTTCACAAACAAACAAACTGACAAGCAAGCAAGCAAGCAAGCAAACAAACAAGCAAACAGACAGAACAAACAAACAAACAAACAAACAAACAAACAAACAAACAAACAAACAAACAAACAAACAAACAAACAAACAAACAAACAAACAAACAAACAAACCCACACACACAAACAAAACAAACACAGTCGCACCCAAAACAAACACACAACGACCAAGCACACAAACACCTACACGCGCACAAACCTGCACACAAACACAAGCCCAGTTTTGCTCGCTCGTCTTTGGCATCCAGCCCGGTCGTGCCCCATCCACCATTCTCAGAGTAAAACACCTTGTTTGTTCTTGTGGGAAATAGTCGTGCAAGAGCAAGGCAAATAACTCGTGCATCCTCCATGCCATGGCTGCCATCTTATGACATGCTTCTGGCCTCACTTCGCATGTATTGTACCCGGCCCAGATTGATTTCCTGTCCTTGGGAAGTAGCTAAAGGCGTCGAAGACGGAGGCGTCTTTGGTGCGCATCGTCTCCCGCTCCCAGGCTTCGTCCATCACGGGGCCGTTGGGCAGCGCGCGGAGCAACTGTCGACACAGCTGTTCCTGAGACAAGGGCTAGACCTACCCCTAGTCCCGTGGCTCTCTCGAAACAAGTATATGGAAAAAAGAACAGACCAGGAGAAGGCTGCAGCTGCGGCAAACAATCTTTGGAGAAACCAACCCCTGCCGGCCCAGGAAAACATTTGCAGCCTCCAAAACTATAGCCTCAAAAAGAACACTCCTATCCTCACTTGTGGAACAAAAACCACAAGGCTATTCATTCACCCCAAGTCTGGCCCAACGTGACGCAATGCTCGACTGACGCCAAACCACCAGCGCATCCACCAACGGCTGCGTCTTCTGCTGCAGCTTTGGTGGCCACTCCTCAGAATTCTGGACAAACAAGCCGTGAATGGCAGTTGACTTCCTGGCAGCTGCAACAGCAACATAGTTTCGAGACCGCCTTAAGAAAAATGGCAGTGCATAACAGCCATTGGTTGCAAAAAACATCTGCCAAGACCTGTGATGTAGATCTGGTATTGCCTTCAAGTACACGCGGCACAAAGTAGCTAATGCACTGCCGACAAAGGCAACGCTACTTGATGCTTCTCAGTTGAAGTATTGCCTGCTGTCAGAGAACTCGGGTTGTTCGGTTCACCGCAACCCGATTGGAATGCTTCGACAGCCGTGCCCATATGTTTGCCTTGCCTGTTTCAACATGCAATCAGCGTTGCTCCTCCCGAAGCTGGAGCTTCCGCCTGTGCCAACATCAAGCGTAGCTGTTTCTCTTGCCGTTGCGGCTCAAAAGTACATGCTACCCAGCCATGCCGCATGCGCAACACATACACAAAGGGTGCCTGTTGGCTTGGCCCTTGGACAAACACGAGAGGCTCCTGTTGGTCCGATGCCCCCAGGATCACGTGAAAGTGCTCTCTGGCGGTCTGGCGAGTGTACCCGACATCTGCCAAGGGCAGTTCTGCAGCCAGACCTTCAATCGCACGCAACTCCAAACCTGGACACGCACCGGGAGCTGGGAACCAAACCTGCGCCTGATCGAAGGCCTCGAAAGCAGCTCTTTCTGCTGCCTGGCAGTGACACACCGCTGCTTTCTCCGGGTTTCCTTACTGTTTCCTTGAGCCACAGATACAGCCAACTAAATGCCGGCCTGCGAAGAACTCCTGCCACGCCTCCTCTGCTTCTGCGAAGGAGTCTGGCAGGCGAAGCCTCGAAGGAGAGGTGTCGGCAATCGAATCGAGTTGCAGGGGCGCGTTTTGAAACAAGCTCTGAGACACACCCAGTGGGTGGCCTGGTCTACTCAAACATGGCATCATGAATTCCAAAGTGTAGCTTCCAAAACAAACACACGCACCACTTACATAATCTATAAGGCGCATATATATATATACACGTACTATACACATCAAATGGCTTGTCACCTTCGGACGCCATGCCGAGCCGAGCTGCAGCACAAAGCCGTGCTGTGCCAGCATTGCCGCAGCTGCGGCAGCATCGCTCTGGAAGGAGAAGTCCTCCGGAGCGCAGAGAACGTCATGCCAAACCTGTCACCAACCAGCCTTGCCATGTGAATGTCCAATCAGGGGGCAGTTCTGACATTTGGTGCCCGAAATGTGCAGATTAGTCTCACAATCGCATTTGTATTCTTCAAGGAACATTTTAGAGAGCTTGCTTGAATTGTTGCTTAAAGTCTTTAATTAGCGTCTCGAGGCCCAAAGGTATATATGGAGTTTCCAACTGATTTGCGGAAAGCCGTCAGTCAAAAAAATGCACTGCCCCAATCATAGCATGAGCATTGTTTTCGGGTCCTCAAGACTCGCGACCCCTCCGACGGTTCGGTTCGCGCGAGTCCGTGCAAGCCGAACGGCCCCGAATGCCTCGAAGGCCTCCAGTGGCTGCGCTTCGCACTCATCCTCCGAGTCGCCCATGGTGGCCCCCAAGTCCCCCAAGAGCACCGTGGAGAATTTGCTCACAGAGCCTGGAGCTCTCCATGACACTCCGTTCCCCAAGGCGCAGTGACTTAGCCACATGGCCTTGAGATGTTGGACATTGGGCAATATTGCCCCTTTGCATGATAGTCGAGCAAACGTGAATGTTAATATGCAGCCGTGCAGGACCTCATAGGTCATCGTCTCACAGTCAAACAAGATCAAACAAGCCGAAACAAGCATGGCTTTCGATGTGCTAATAAACTACGCTTCCAAACCCATCTCCACCGTCATTTTCCTTTTTCTTCATGCCAGTATTGCCTGCAAACCAGTCCGGCAAACAACGGAAAGCGCCTGCCACGGCATGCGATGGCTTTCCCTTGCTTTCCCTTTCCGTTGCTTTCCAATTTCCTTGCTTTCCCTTGCTGTCCCTTGCTTTCCTTTGCTTTGCCTTGCTTTGCCCGTGCTTTAGCTTGCTTTGCCTTGCTGTCCCTTGCTTTCCTTTGTTTTCGCTTGCTTTCCCTTGCTGTCCCTTGCTTTGCCCGTGCTTTTGCTTGCTTTGCCTTGCTGTCCCTTCCTTTCCCTTGTGTTCCTTTGCTTTGCGTTGCTTTGCCCATGCTTTTGCTTTCTTTGCCCTGCTATCCTTTGCTTTCACTTGTTTTCCCTTTCACTTGCTTTCCCTTGCTTTCCCTTGCCTTCCTTTGCTTTGCCTTGCTTTGCCCGTGCTTTTGCTTGCTTTGCCTTGCTCTCCCTTGTTTTCCCTTGCTTTCCCTTGCCTTCCCTGGCTGTCCCTTGCTATCGTTTGCTTGTCCCTGCTTTCCCTTTCCCTTTCTTTCCCTTGCTTTGCCCGTGCTTTAGCTTGCTTTGCCTTGCTCTCCCTTGTTTTCCCTTGCTTTCCCTTGCCTTCCCTGGCTGTCCCTTGCTTTCGTTTGCTTGTCCCTGCTTTCCCTTTCCCTTTCTTTCCCTTTCTTTGCCCGTGCTTTAGCTTGCTTTGCCTTGCTCTCCCTTGTTTTCCCTTGCTTTCCCTTGCTGTCCCTTGCTTTCTTTGCTTGTCTTTGCTTTCCCTTGTTTTCCCTTTCCCTCGCTGTCCCTTGTGTTCCTTTGCTTTGCCTTGCTTTGCCCGTGCTTTTGCTTGCTTTGCCTTGCTCTCCCTTGTTTTCCATTGCTTTTGCTTGCCTTCCCATGCTTCCCTTTGATTGTCCTTGCTTTCCCTTTCCCTTTGCTTTCCCTTGCTGTCCCTTTCTTTCCCTTGGTTTCCCTTGCTTTCCCTTGCTGTCCCTTGCGGTCTTTGCCTTCCTTTGCTTGCGCTTGCTTTCCTTTGCGTTGCCTTGCTTTCCATTGCTTTCCCTTTCCCTTGCTTTCCCCTGATTTCCCTTGCAGTCCCTTGCTTGCTGTCCCTTGCTTTCCTTTGCTTTGCCTTGCTTTGCCTGTGCTTTCGCTTGCTTTGCCTTGCTGTCCCTTGCTTTCCCTTGTGTTTCCCTTGCTTTCCCTTGCTTTTTTGTTGCTGTCCCTTGCTGTCCCTTGCTTTCCTTTGCTTTGACTTGTTTTGCCCGTGCTGTTGCTTGCTTTCCCTTGCTGTCCATTGCTGTCCCTTGCTTTGCCTTGCTTTCCCTTGCCTGGCTTGCTTTCCCCTACTTTCGCTTCCTTTGCCCTTGCTTTCCCTTGGTTTGCCTTGCTTTGCCTTGCTGTCCCTTGCCAGCTTGACCCAAGTCAGAGCAAACCAACAACTGCACAACCCTCCTGCACACAACAACAACAAACCAGCGCCCGTACTTACACACCCCGTGTCGTCTCCCTGGGACCTGCAAACCAGCCTTGCGGTGGCAGAAAGTGCTCCAAAAAATACTCCCAAAAAATGGGAGTATTTTTCCTGCGACATCCCCAGCATCGCCGACCACCACAAAAACTTCCAAAACAAGCGACATCCCCTGCATCCCCGGCATCCCCTGCATCCCCGGCACCCCTTGTGCGCCCAAGTCCGGCGAGGCCGGAAGCAAAGTAAAATGATGTAAAACTGGCACGCTTTTTGGCCCGCGAGAGCCACAGACGAAAAGGTCAGACATGATAGGCAGCGTCGACGAAAAAGCGCGAAAAACACAGGGAAAAACACCAAAAACCAGCCTTGCGGTGGCAGAAGTGCTCCAAAAAATACTCCCATTTTTTGGGAGTATTTTTCGGCTGACCAAACCTGCAAATCTTCCGGAACGAGGTTACCCCCCCCCCCCACAACTTCGTACACTAACTCCCAGCGCTTCAAGAAGCGCTTTCCGTCATCTCATGATCCCTTATGCCTATAGCAATGAATGTCCAACAAGGTTTCAGTTTCTCTCAGCTGAATTCCCTTTCAAGGAACCCGATGCCCAAAAAGATGTCAGGCCTCGATCCTCCACCTCCACCAGCTTCTGGGTGTCTGGGACGGTGAGTGCCACGAAGCCATCTACTGCACGGACCTGCTTGCCAAACAAAGAGCTCGAAGCTGAACATATCCACAATTGCACGAGAGTTGACCCTGCAAGACATGATTCTAGTAGAATCGCCGGTGTCCAATGGCTTTTTTGCTTGCGGCTTCCATCGAATGTCAAACTTGATGCCACAAGATGCCACAAGCCTTTGGCCAGCTTGTGCAAAGTGCATACCGGATGGTTGCCCTTTGGAAGAAACCCATGTCTTTGGATTCACCATGTTTCTGAGAGCCCCCACGCAGGGCAAGTCCCGGATGTCTGGGCGTGGGTGGAAAGAATGAAGGGCTGGAAGAAAGTCGTCCACTGGAAAGATACATTGATCGTACCTGAAGCAAAATGGACAGCATGCTCAAGCCCACTGTTGTTGAGGCCTTGTTCCAAAAGCGAAAAGCAACGTGCGCAACCTATCCACCCTCGGAAATCAACAAAAGGAGACTTGGATGACGAAGTCTGTGATGGCTTCCACTTCTACTGCTCCACGCAAAGTTGTGAAGTTGCAACTTGCCTGGCTGTCTGATTTCTTGCTCCTCAACCACCCTGTTCCGCGTACAATACCCCCCGAAACTTTAGGGTGTTCGTTACACTTCCAGACATCAGCCGAACAAACTCGGGCCGTCCTTTGAACAAGCGTGACCACGCGTTGTGAGTCATCTTTCTTTCCAGAGTGCTGCTCCAATGGAGCGCAGAAAAAGGCACAAGCACAGCTTGTCGTGGAGAGCGCAGTCGGGTAACAAAGCTGGCGTCTCACACCGAGCTGCCCGCTGGCCACCAGCTTCTTCAACCCACGAGAGGAAAGTGCGTAGGCACCTGCGTCAAATATTCTCAGTTCCAGCAGTGCTCACAGCCGGCACGAGAGGCGTGGCTCGCCAACTCAAGACCCTTCGGAATTTGCGACTGACTGCTTTCAGCCATCCCTCTTGAGCGGAACAAATCGCGCATAGCGAGCCCTCAATCCCTCAATGCCTTTGAATCGAGCTGTGCAAAATGGATGTCGCTTCCGGCGGGTTCTTGTCGAATTGCAGACATTCCCTGCCTGCCCACTTGCGGTGACCAGCCAACAATAGCTCGCAGCCCGGAACTTCTGGCTCCTGGAATATGCAAAATGAAGTGAATGGGTGGCCCAAAAAACGGCCCGCTCGGCTTAAGTATGGTATAGTCTTGTGAATATGAGCCAGGGATAGCCCCGTCCAAACAGACCGTTGCTGTAAAGGACCAGGGAACACGAGCGGTCCTCTCGTTTGTGTGGGAAATGTACATTGTTGAGTCCCCCAATATCCCTCCCATGTCAGCTCATATAAACCGTGGCATGCTGGATATGTTCAGAGAACCACATAATTCGGGAAAGCTACGATTTGTGACGATCTACAGATATACACCAGCGCAAAATTATGTTATTTAAGACGCGAGACATCACTTTACGACCTCGCATCTACTTGCGCAACGCATGTGCCCTGAAAGAACTTGCCACAGCCCTTGTTGCCCGAGAAGCTGTCAACTGCCTAACAAATAGAACAGACCACACTGCGATGCTCCAGCAAATGACCCGACCCCACTGCTGAAATTGACCAAACAATAAACGCGTAGACCATCTTGATTCTGCATTGTCATGCCTGGCAAGCCATCCGTTGCTTTGTAGCGTGCAATGTGGCTCCTGAGCCTTGGAGTACAGGGCTGAGTGCAAGTAGATCAAATCCTCAGAGCAAAGAAAGCGCAAGCAAGCTGAGCGCCACCAGAAACATGGAAGAAACCGCGCCAGCCGTTGCTCCAAATCCTCTGGAGGGGCCAATCGGCAACAACAAGCCTCACCGATTCAAGAGGGACCAATCGCTGCAGCCGGAACCGGCCAAGTCTCCCACTGAAACTCCATGGCATCCAGCTTTGCCAGCTCAGACAGGAATTTTTCCAGCCCAGACCGGCTTGGCCTGCACGTCTTTCGGCTTCTACATTCAGACAAACAGGGCTTGGGAAATTCTGGCGCTTACAAGTATGGAAGCAAGCATGAAGCTTCCGACATCACGCCAGGTGGAAAAAGATCCTGCTCCGAGATGCTTTGATATTCTTTACTGTACAGTAGTATGTGGCAGGCTTTTGCTTGAGGCGCTTCAGCTCACAAGCTGAAGCATGTCACCAACTCACGCCTGGCATCATCCTCAAAGACAACGCACAGCTCCAAGTCTTCCTCTACGGCCTTCTGCCAGAGCCGGAAGTGGCCGAGACAGGCAGCGACCTGCTCAGGGCAGGCAGCCGGAAAAAAAAGGAAGAAAAACACATGCAAGCAGCTAACACAATCATGCGCGTTCGTCCAAGGCATTTATTTCCTGGCCTCGCCCAGTTTCAAGTGTCTGTTGTAGAAGTCAATGTAGTTGCTGGCCTCATGTGTGAATCTGTCCCTTGAGTGAATGCTATGACTGCGCATGACACTGTCAAGTGCACTGTCACCTTTGACTAAGCATTTGGCTCGGTCAGATATCCAGCATCCTGAGCTGGGATTTGCACAAGCAGCACACGCTTCAGGCCGGCAATCACATCTCTAGGAATGAATCGGGCATCATCAAAGGGCTTCAGCATGGCTTGAGCATTCGCCCAAGTGCAGTAAGACTAGCACAATCAAGACCATAACCATCATACACCACGACTGCTAATGTTAGCAGCAAAATCGATGGCTTTGCAATTGACACGGATCCTCCGAGACTCGGTGCCAGGAGATGTAGGTCTCCCAGGCCTTCCAGTCCGGCAATTCCGCCAGCTCCGGCTTCATTCGGACAACCTAAAGTAGACAAAGGTCAGAACCAGCAGGCTACCCGGCAACATCCAACTGTGTCTTCATGCCATTCGACTCAAACACGACCAAGTCCGCCGACTGAGAGGCAAGGGTAAGAATTAGTTCAGAGCCCCCCCCCCCCCCGAGTTGGCCTCAGGGAGATGTCTCCAGGTTTCATAGGCTTTGCAGTTTAGCATTGAGCTTGCCAGTTTTTTCTCACATAGCCGAGCTCTACTGGGTTGTTTTCTTTCTTCAGATCTGCACTGGGTGAGCTCGGGGACGTTGTCTACAAGACACTGTTCTTGCTCAAAACAGCCCAGCTCTATTTGAACAGGGCTGTGGACAATGTTCTTTGCCCCAAGCGGCTGTTGTCTGACTGCGGCCTTTGCTGGGTGGGTACGTGGGTGTCATGCGTCTGCGGCTCGTGCTGGGGGAACCGCTCCTCGGCCCTAGCCGCCGAGGAGGGCAGCAGCATTAAAATGATTCCCCCAAAGCGTTGGACCATGGCGCATCCTCCACATCGCAAATGGGCCACTGGTGGTACAGGCGGCAGCCCATGGCAGCTTCCAAGGCTGACAGGTCTGGCAGCAAATGCCGAAAGTCATTGCCGTAGATGCCTGGCACAAGAGCACAAGAACAAGACGCGTCTGGGAAAGGCATGAATCTGAGCGTGGATCACAGCACTGTTGATCAACATCATGGTAGAAACCACAACTGGCCCACAGTTCTGGTCAACACTTAACAGGTCCTGAGATGTGACACTCGAAAGGGAACTGGTGGCAGGCTTGTCTTTTTCCGGCGAGTTCGGGAGCCGAATCGGTTCTCGGTCCTGGGAACATCTCCAGCTGCAGCGACTCCGGAAGTTGCGCCATCGCGGCCTCAGCGGCGCCGAAGCGCGCGGGGCGCTGCTGCAGGGATAGGCAGAAGGCGCGGCTCCTGACCGCCCCACCCCAAGAAAATCCCAGCTGGAGCTAGGGGCCTGAAAACAGTCGATCCCATGTCGGAAATTTGGATGAAACGCTGCTGTTGCTCTTTGACAGCACGTGAACAAGGACTGGAAGGTTGCATGTCAGTCAAGCTCTTTTGCGGGAACCATCAGCTGTTTTGGCAAAACAGCTCAGTGCAACACTTTGCGCTGTCTTGGTACTTTGCCGCTTGGTGGAGGGTGCGCCAGTCCCGTCTTGTCAACATGCCTTGAACAAAGCGAACGATGCCGCCCGCAAACCTCATCTTTCGCGTAGAGCTGGGTGCCGCGGCGTCAGGCAGCTCATGGCTCTAACCAGCATGGCATTGATAAGCGCTGACGAACGCTGCTCGGCATGGACATCAGAGCACAGCTATATACCTGAGAACTCCGTCGGGCTAAAATAAACGCCGTTGTGATTTTGGACGGGAACTTCTGCCGCCGCAGCAAAAAAAACGCCGTTGAATTCCAGAAACGCCGGCAGTTTGCAAGAAACGCCGTTGGCCCCTGGCTGATCCAAATCAGCTCAGGGCCTCGGCGCAAAGCAGTCTCAGAAGGTAGCAACATGAAGCGCTGAACACAACACAAAGCCGACTCTCGCCCCCTTGCAAGGCGGCTTTGGTCGATCTGTGACACCTGGATCAATCCTCAAGAAAGCGTTTGCGATCTCGAGTTCCGCCGTTGGGACGCGCGTTTCCGCCGTCGGGACGCGCGTTTCCGCCGTCGGGCCGCGCGTTTCCGCCGTCGGGACGTAGGTTTGCGCCGGTGCAAGTCAACACATTTGGCGGTAAAGCTCGATGGGAATTCCAACAGGTCGCACCGAGTTTCACCAACCCACAAAGCCTAGCACAAAACCTGGCAAAGTTGCATAGTCGCGGTCAGGTGCGCAGATCTTGCAAAGCGGCCCACGTCAGGCAAAATGCCCACAAACCGCAAAAACGCCGTCGCAGATTGAAAAACGCCGCCACAACCAGCTCCCCATCAAGTTCCGCCGCTGGACGGCAAAAGGCGCCTTTTCGAGTCTCAGGCTGAAATTTTCGCCTTTTGGAGTTTATAGGTATGAACGTGAACGTAACCAAAAAAAACAATGAACAATGAAACAAAAAACAATGAACGTAACCGAGGCCAATGAGTCAAGCTCCTGCGACATTGTGTTTGTGCTTTGTGCAGCAAACGGGTTGCTGTGTCTTGCCATTATGTGATGTTCACCCAAACATGTTTATTTGCAGGGGGGCTGCCTTTGAGGATGCATCGCCAAGAACTCTCCAAGCTGCGAGTTCATGCTGGGTCGTGTTGCGCCTTGGTCCTGTTTTGCTGTGGCTGGGCAGACTGCGGACAGCTTTCTCAAAGGCGTTGTTTGCAAGGACATGCACAACTGCATCAGCGTCCTGGCAAGAAGCAGTAGCTAAAGTGGAACAGCTTCTGTGCGCGAGGTGCAACCCATGCTGTTTTGATCTGCAGCGACTCCCTGTCTAGTATTTCACAAACTCCAGCCAACTTGGCGCCCCCAGACCTGTCCACAACAGGCGGCAGCTCCCGGTGCTCTGTACTGCTGACATCTTCGGACACAAACATATGGTGCGGATTGGTGCGCTGCAATGCCGGTTCTGGGCAGGTTCTCTATCCAAGTGCTGGAGCTCAGCTTTCTAAACCTGCGCATAGAAAGCGCTAAATCTACGAGGGTTCAGCGAAATCTTCAGACTGGTGAAAACATCATTCATGGTGGGACGAAATATCCAAATCATGTCAACGAAGCTCATCACTACGCTTTTGCAAAGGCCAAAAGATGCCTGTGACTTTTTGGCTCTCTGACCAAATGTTGCCCAACCCAGCTGGCATTCCTGTCAAAATGCATTGGCAGTCTCGAGATTGAGGCTGGTCGAAGCCCGGCAACCAACAAGTCGGGTCAAATACGTGCAGCGCCCGTAATGAAGTCGCAGCCCGGAAAGCTCTTGGCGATGTAGTCCTCAAAGGCAGCCCCCCTGCAAATAGACATGTTTGTTTGAGCATCATAGAATGACAATACGAAGCAGCCTGTTTACCGCGCGTTATGCAAAGCCTCTCACATCATCTGTTCAAAGGTTTACCACCCCAGTAAACCAACATGTATACACACACCTTACATGTATACATGCATACAGGTAGGTATGTATGCTATGATATGCTATGCCATGTTTTGCTATGTTCTATATGGATCTATGGGTCGACGGATGTTTGGATGTACGAATGCATGGATGCATAGATGTCTGCATGCAGGCATGCAGGTATTTACAGGTGTGCACGTAAATAGGCAGCATGTCTGTAGGCAATATGGTATGGTAGAAGTACAGTACAGTATATTTGCGCAACCTCCTCCGAACCCAGCCTGTAAACCTTGATTCATATGCAACTGCATTTTGACTGTCGAGCTGTGTACGAGGGAAAGTAGTGTGAACCACTATGCAATTCACATTCACGACAATCCTTGGTTGTGCGCAACCACACCTCAACAGATCATGATACCCCCCGGCTTCATCGAGTGCAGTCCTACGAACAGGTGGTTTTAAATTTTGGCGCCCAAGCGGCATTGCCCAAGTCTGCCAGCTTGGTGGGATCCGGCCCGGAGCCTGCACGCATCTTCCCGCGGTGACCAAAGGGAGGAAAGTAAAGCTTCCCCATTGGATTTGTCCCAGACGAAACCACATGTTTCATATGAAGGGGATGGGCTGAATACCCGATTCAAGAAGGGTTAAAACCTGGAAATAAGCTTCCAGAGTTTTATGTAACTTGGGTTGAGGCTTTCCGGGCAGGAGCCCGTGAAGCACGGGAAACCTAAAATCCAGACTTGAGCCTTTTCCAAGGGCCCGGATATTCGTTGGGAGGTTTTCATGTTATTCAATTCCTGGATTTTCTGCCTTGGAACTGGCAGGTCTCCTTCATGCTGTGGTTTTGACGTTCACCAGTGGTCGCTTCGGGTTCCCAAGTATGTCCAGTGCGTGTTGCACTCACCCCAACCACACAGCCCACCCCAACTCCACTCTCAGCAACTCCACTCCAGCCCAGGCGCAACAAACGCAAGCTTGAATATGGCATCAAGCCCTGAATGCCTCAAATCATGGAGTCAAATTCAAGTCTGAGATTGCTTCAAGAAAGTCCATGCGTGTTGACTCAGAAAGCTTACATCCAAATCTAAGAGGTTTCAATGCAACAATGAGCTGCAACCCTAAGAAGATGCAAACAAGACGCGAAAATCTTGATTTCAGACCATGAACAACCAGTCCTGACCATCGACCCATTTGTAATCCAGTGCGGCTCCCCCATCCATTTGAGGGGGAGCACAATGCAACTGTTGTAGTGGCATACAACACAAACAATTGCCTGCCAGGTCCTTAGCAGTGCAAGTTGCACCTGACATCACGTGCCTTGTGTGGACTGCCTCAAGTCTTCCTATTCTCAAAAGATCGCCTGTTTGTAGTTTTTGTTTTTGTTTTAAGTCTCCAGTTGCAGATTCGACAAGCTTTGTAGCACAGCAATCAGCTTGCTTCTGGCTTGAAGCTGCCACAATGTCTTCCAACGCCTACCATATCATAAGGCCCTGTTCAAAACCCCACACGGCACGGCTCTCTTTCGACTGCCTCCGCACTGGGGAATGTCGCCCAGAAGCTTCAGCGCCCGGAGCACTGGCAGGCTCTCGGCGCTCGCACGCCCGATGGGCGTCTCCACTGAGTTCTGGCCCAATCCCGGTTGAGCGCCTCAAAGCCAGCCCGGTGATACGGAACTATTGCTTTGAACAATGCGTGAACCGGAAAAGCTTCTTGGATAGTGACCGAGCCTGAGACAGACTACTTGCAATAGCTTAAAACTGGTTTGCTTACGCACACGTCAGGATGTTTCTGGGCGTGTGCACTCTTGGTAGGTGCTGCACCGATGTTGATTCTGTGTTTCATTGTGCTGCCTCTAGCTTCGCTAGGTTACAGCTTGGCATAATTCAGCCTCTGCGTGTGTGTGTGTGTGAAACTAGAAGCTACGGCAAGCGGCTTATTCCTGGTGACAATTTCGTACATAATTCATGTTATGATCCAGTTTTTGCTTACTTACAGGATCGATGCCTTCAAGTCAAAGCAAGAAGTTTGCCAAACGCAACATCTGATCAACATCAAACACGCAGCAGCTAAAACTCTTGGGACTCCAGCATGGACCTCAATTGGCAACAAGCGGACAGCCTTCCAAGAAAATAGTGTCTGCATGCGGTCAGTGACTCTTTCCGCCAATTTCCGTGTATTCCCTGCGATTTCCGCGTCTTGTCCGCGAGTTGGCACATCTCTGCACCATGTCATGGAAACCGGGCGGTTCTGCAGAAACTCCTGCTTTTCTTTTCAGCTTCAAAACGGGCTAAAACTGCCGGACAAACCCTTGAGGGCGCAAACATGGCCGGACAAACTCCCGGACAGGTTGCCAGACATTTGCTTCTGAGGCCGGCCCAAAATTATGCGACCCAGCACTCGGACATTCACTCGCAAAGTATTCTCGCACTGGGGGCAAGGGGGGCTTACAAATGTTGGCAGCATAAATCTCGGCAACATAATTGAACAACCCTCCAAACACCCATTTGGATAACCTTCCGGACAAGCCCGTAGACAACTTGCTGTTTTGATTGTCTAGTACAGTAAGTCGCACAGAATCAGCCGTCACCTTTGTTCGGTTTGTTTGCTACAGCCTTGCTTCATGGAGCTGCCCAACTTTTCCATACGAGCACCATCAAACTATTGTCTGCAACGTGTATAGGATTAGATATTCGTACAATACATCCTCGGGTTTTCGCCTCACGAAGAAGGAAAGCATTATTGGTAGGGTCCGCCGTAGCGCATGTTCTTTCTTGAAGAGGTCCTGATTGGCATTGATCTCGTTGTTTTCCCAACAAAGTCCGTATTTCAATCTGAACCACACAAGACTTTGAACGGCGTGCGTGCGAGGTTCTCACAGAAAAGCTACAAGCACCTGCATGCCCATCCTGAAGCAATCGGCCCATCTCCGTTGCGGCACCCCCAACAACTGATTCCCCATAGGCACGCTTGTTTTGTCTCAATCCATGTTTACAGCCCTTGCAGAGAGAAAAGTGAGCCTGTCATTGGCCTCTTGGCAGCGGAGCGGCTGCCATCTTCCCCCCCTGTGACAACGCATGTTGGCCAAGGCACCCAGAAAAAGGCAAAGCTGCTGAGTTCGTGTGTTCGGCCCAGCGGCGGCAAAACCAACAGTGCCTGGCAGCTACAACAGACATTGCAGATTTTCAGGACTGAGAGTGACTGAGTCGCGAATACAGGATCAATGCCGAAATTTGTCCGCCTGCTCGGAGAATCTCATTCAGCAAACAAACAGCAACTAGGAAGGCGACTGAAAGGGCAAGCAAATCACATGTGCCACTGCCTTCGAGATATGGCACGCCAGCAAGGGCGTCATCTGGAATCATTGTGTAAGCCTTCTTGCGGTTGGGATTCGCCTGGAGCATGGAGCAAGGACGTCGGCCGACTTCGGTGTCGCATTCAGCCGAGTAACAATCCCAAACTGAATCAGGAAGTTGGGTACACCACGGTAGATCGCCAGGTCCTGCCACTTCAAATCACGCCAATCAAAATGCCAAGACTGGAGCCTATAACATTAAACCACCTGGATTGGTATGACCTGGTAGGATGCAATGACCTGACTAAACCTCCTAAGTCCTCAAGTGGCTTCATACACTTCATATCTGCCATGTTGGGATCGTGTTGGCATTCATAGCCCACAGACTCAGCACAAACAAGATCAAACTCCCAAATCAGAAGCGCATTCAATCGGTTCTAGCAAGCAAATGTCCAACGCGCAACTACCTAGCCTTAAAGAAGCCATCATCCACCAATTCCAGCATTCGCCGCACGCCATTTGGGGACCAGCTTGGCACCAGCTTCAGCACGATCTGCCCCTTGGTGGTATCTAAGCGTACCTGCACCAAGTGGGTTTCCAGTTCTCTGTTTCCACCACTCCGCGACATCACAAATGCTTGCACTTTGGCATGTTGGGCGCTTGCCTTGACAACGTCAGGGCCGTTAAGATCCTTCTCCACATCCTCTCACGTCTTCTGCAAAAAATAATGCACTCTCTTGCATCCTCCGAATGCCCTCCAAGCCCCCCTATTCAGACGTAGGCTATTTTGGTCGGTATCGTACACATGCCACCAACTGACAAGCACCCGCCGCCACAGGCACACAATTCAATCGTGAACAGGTTCAATGCCGATGAATCACCTTCCAGGACATTCACTAGGCTGGGAGGGGTTTGATGTGGCAACAAAAACAGCCAGTCCCAAGGCCGCTGCAGGCACGTTTGATCAGGATAAATGTCTGAGTCGCTTTTAAGCGCCACTCCTGCCTTCTCACCATTGGTCGTGATCAGTGCGGCCGTGTATGTTGAATCATTTAGGCGAATATGCTGATTGCTTTCCCGTTGCAGACCTTTCACAACAAGCACTCCGTCCTCCGCGGATTTCTTCTGGGGAGGTCCTGGCAAGTGATTCATGGCACGCTCTCGGCTAACTTCACACATCTGCCATATGGCACCAGGCCAGCGAAGGTACTAGAGTTGCATTTGAGACCATGCTTGGCTGCCAGCAAAAAAATAGCATGCATTATTGCTTCGAAACAAACAACAAACTTTGCGAGTAAACCAGCCTGGTCTGACAATGTTCTTGAAGACCCAGTTGTCTTCAGAGTTCTTGATCAGATGGATCTGGTCCTCATTTCACTGTCGGGCTCATGCTCCATACACTAAAGAGAAAGAGAGAGAGAGAGAGGGAGAGAAAAAGTAAAGGAGAAAATAAAGATAAACAAACCAAAGGACAGGGAAAGAAAAGGAGAAAGAGAAAGAGAAGGAGACAGAAAAACAGAAGGAACATATAAACAGAGAGGAACAGAGAAAGAGACGGATGAAGAGAAAAAAAAATCAGAGAAAGATAATCCAAGAAAAAAACCAAGAGAAAGAGAGGGACACAAATAACAGGCAAGACAAAGATAAGAAGAAGAGAAAGTGGAGGAGACAGGAACAGAGAAAGATAGAGATCAAGAGAAACGAACCAGAGAAGGAGAAGAAAATAACAACAGAAATAGAAAGAGAAAGATCGAAAGAACAAGCGACGGAGAAGGAGAACAAGAAACAGAAGACATATCTTTTAAAGGCTCCTCCAGGACCCTCTCTGAACGAAGACGCCCCTGTCCGGCCCAAAGTTCTGAAAAATACCAAACGACTGAAAATTAAAGAACCAAGGCTATTGCCAATACTTTTGCCAATACCAACTCCTTTCATAGTCTCAAGGGTTGCCATTCCAGAATTAGATAAATGAAACAGCAAATTTATTATTACAATTTGCTTTAAACAACAAGGTTTGGCAAGCTCGTAAAGGGTACCCCCCTTCAAGGCTGCCCCCCCCAAGCAACACCAAAAACCCGCTGATTCATCAAGTCCCTCTCCAGCCCTGGAAAATAAGAAAATGCAACTTCCTTCAACTTTCCTATTGGAGTCCTATTGGGCAGAGAGGGGTCCACACAAAAAGGACCGGAAAGGACTGGCCAGGTCCGGATTGATCCCAAACCTTGTCGACCTTGAGGGGGAAGGGGGCTGGTTTACTAATCAAGTTCCAACATTAAGAGAAAACACAAAGAGGAGACAAAGAAAGAAGAGGAAAGGAAGCGAAATAGAAAGAGAGAAAGAGAGAGAGAGAGAGAGAGACAGACATTAAAAAAAAGAGCGCGAACAAGAACGAGAAAAAGAGCGAAAGCAAACTACCTACAATTTGTTTTTGATTGAAACTTATCCCCCAGCTCTGCTGGACTTTTTTGCTAGTAGTCATTGAGTAATACTGCTGCTCAAGTATATAATACTGGTGGGTGTAGTAGCACCATCAGTTTGAGCATTGCTTCCTCTAGTCTGGAATCGGTTTTATATTAGTTAATTGGTGTCTTTTTAGTAGCACGTTTACCTTAGACTAGTCATAGCAGCGAATCAACATTAGTTTGCTTGCTGGCAAAGCCCAGTTCTCGAGATGCCGGCGGCCGCTTTAAGGTTGCCCAGTTCTTTTTCCTTCCAGGAAGGGCTTTCCTGGATCGAACTTGTACCGCCAATCAGTGGATGCATGTTGACATTTTGGGAAGATCCACAAGGGCCAAGATTACTTTGGTGTCGGTTTAGCATCGCTGCTTCAGGCACATGAGTGCCAAGCTGTTGTTCTTGCAGTATTTGATGAACTCAGCCGTGTTGTAGCATCAAATACCAAGTATTGCTGCTGAGTTGAGTAGCAGTGTCTCTTTAGGCATTCCTGCTTTTAGTTTTGAATCGGTGTTGTGTATATGTGTTTGGTATTCCTAGTCTATCAACAATTGAGACATACTTCAGCAGGAGTTTATGTTCAGCCTTGTGCAGCCAATAAAGTGAAACAACAATCAAAACAATTGGAACAAGGGCACGTTTTGGGGCGGAACAGTAAGAAAAGGCGATGTTTCTTTTTTATGTTCCCATTCAACACAATAAGGTCAGACATAAACTTGTGGACCCGTGAAAGGTACAAAGTAATTCTAGCTGAAGTAAAACATGCCTCACTCTTGGCAGTTGTGTGGGGGAAAAACAACAACAACATAAACCTCCTAAAGTAAACAAGCAAAACAAGAGTCGCGCATTTGGGAGTTTTACTTACTACATTTCATGGAACCAAAAGTGCTACTTGTTTTATTTGCTGTTTGCGTCTTCTCATTTGTTACTTCCTTTATTTTCCTCCGTGAAAGTGCAAAGCAAAACAAACAATTAAAACATTGGGGCCCATGAAAAGTACAAGTAAAACTGCCTGAAGTAAAAATAAACTAGTTTTACTTTTGAAAGCAACAAACAAAGTAAAACTGCCGAAGTAAAACAAGGTCACGGCGACGTTAGCCACGCGGGCACACCCCCTCGGTTTGCTGCTTTGAGGATCTCTGGAACCTTACGCCACAGGTCCGGCCCAGCATTGTATCTGAATTGGAAGCTGTACGCCCACTGCCACACCTGCGGGTTCAGCAGGCCAGACGTAGCACTCTTAGTGCTTATCTGGCTGGGCATGAAGTCTTTACACATCCCCCAACATCTATCTAGGTGTGCTTATCATTTGGGTGCGCTTATCACACACGCGTGTGTGCGCAGTGCTGCGCGGGTGCATTTGAGCGGGTGTGCTTATCATTTGGCTGGCGTGTGTGCAGTGCTGTGTGGGTGCACTTGAGCGGGTGTGCTTATCATTTGGCTGGCGTGTGTGCAGTGCTGTGCGGGTGCACTTGAGCGGGTGTGCTTATCATTTGGCTGGCGTGTGTGCAGTGCTGCGCGGGTGCACTTGAGCGGGTGTGCTTATCATTTGGCAGGCGTGTGTGCAGTGCTGCGCGGGTGCACTTGAGCGGGTGTCATTTGGCTGGCGTGTGTGCAGCGCTGTGCGGGTGCACTTGAGCGGGTGCGCTTATCATTTGGCTGGCGTGTGTGCAGTGCTGCGCGGGTGCACTTGAGCGGGTGTGCTTTATCATTTGGCTGGCGTGTGCGCAGTGCTGTGCGGGTGCACTTGAGCGGGTGTGCTTATCATTGGGCTGGTTTGCAGTGTGTGCAGGGTGCACTTGAGCGGTTGTGCTTCTCATTTGGCTGGCGTGTGTGCAGCGCTGTGCGGGTGCACTTGAGCGGGTGTGCTTCTCATTTGGCTGGCGTGTGTGCAGCGCTGTGCGGGTGCACTTGAGCGGTGTGCTTATCATTTGGCTGGCGTGTGTGCAGTGCTGTGCGGGTGCACTTGAGCGGGTGTGCTTATCATTTGGCTGGTTTTGTGCTCAGGGTTTGGGGCTTAAGGTTTAGGATTTACGGCGCAGCTGTTGGCGGTAAACGCGGCCTGCCGCTGGCGGAAAATATGACTCGAAGTCAAGAGTGCTACGAGCGCTCTTGCGAAGGTGACACTCAACGCGACCTGCCACTGGCGGAAACTATAAATCGTAGTCAAGGGCGCTGCGAGCGCTCTTGCGCGGGTGTTGGTAAACGCGACCTGCCACTGGCGGTAAATATAAACCGTAGTCAAGCGTGCTACGAGCGCTCTTGCGCGGGTGGCGGTAAACGCGACCTGCCACTGGCGGTACATATGAATCGAAGTCAAGCGTGCTACGTCAGCTTGTTTGTGAAGAAGTCATGAACATGAAAAAACAAAGGATCCTCCCGCGTGTCTAACGTCGCCGTGAGCTAAAACAACTACACGCATCTACAGTTACAAACTTTAGTCACATCAATTTGTGAAAACCTGGTACGTGCTGATTTGGAGCAGTCGATACGACCGCGTCACAGCAAGGTCACATCAATTCCATTGCCCTTATGCGGAGAGCAATGTGTTTGAGCTGCGGAAGTTGTTGCGCAAACGCATGCTCTCCATAGAAACTTGATGTTCGATCGCTGGGACTCACTCACGCAAGGATCTGCAGGAAAACAGCGGGGAATAAAGATATTAAATCATTGGCAATACGAATCAAGCAAGGCCTTTGCTCATGAATGGGGTGATGGAATGTGACAACCCTGACTGGGTGATGTCAATCATGGTTGCCTGGACTGTCAGAACCGTTGAAGGGAAAACGCTGTAAGCTGAACAACAACGGTGGCATTGCCAAGCCCAAAGCCTCCACCGACATTCAGCCATGTGGCGCCAGGCAAGACCTCGGGCGGCATGGGCAGCTGCAGCACCTTCTTGTCCGGCGCTGTCAGCCTGCAACGGGAAACAGTCACCGCTGCACCCGGAGCGGCCAATCCGGCCAAGCGTCTGCGTGTGTCCCCGACAGTTGCCGGATGATTGTTGACCGACGTTTCCTGCTGGAAGAGAACATTGATGAGGTACAGGCGGAATTTCTCCAGGTATTGAAGGATGTTGAGAACAAACGGGCGTCATTCAGGTATGATGTCCGGGAGTTGCACCGGGTCCTGCCGACGATGACCGACAAGGAAGCGCCGGTTGTCAGGACAGTTGCCAGGGCAATCGAGGAAACGCTTGGAAAAGAGGCGGAATATGTCGTGAGTCCGGGAACTTACGACCAGAAACATATCGACCGGATCGGGAAACTGAAAAACTGCATCGCCTATGGTCCGGGAATTCTGGATCTTGCACACAAACCGGATGAATATGTTGGTGTGGAAGACATGCTCGATTCTGCGAAGGTCATGGGCCGGTCGCTGATCGAGCTACTGGCACAGCCGTGAAAAGGCGGCGTCGAAAGATGGGGAGAGCTATGCGTTTGAACAAGTTTGGGAGTGGGTTGATCAGCGTCCTTGCACTGGCCGCGAGCATCGGTATGGCGGAAGCCAAAAGCGACATCATCGTTGCGATGCAGCTCGAACCGCCACATCTGGATCCAACCGGTGCTGCTGCCGGAGCCATCGTTTCGGTACTTTATTCGAATGTGTTTGAAGGCCTCACGCGCTTTGGCCCCGACGGCTCGGTCAATCCGGGACTGGCCGAAAGCTGGACTATTTCGGACGACGGCAAAACCTACACATTCAAGCTGCATGAAGGCGTCACGTTCCACGACGGATCTGACATGACCGCGGAGGATGTGAAGTTCAGCCTCGACCGCGCGCGCGCCGACGACAGCGCCAATGCCCAGAAGGCACTTTTCGCCGGTATCGAGAATGTCGAGGTAGTCGATCCGCAGACTGTCGCGGTGACGCTGAAGGAAGCCAACAGTAGCTTCCTGTTCAACCTGGCGTGGGGCGACGCGGTAATCGTTGCCCCGGAAACGGTCGCCGACATCAAGACCAACCCGGTCGGAACCGGTGCTTTCAAGTTCTCCGACTGGGTGCAGGGAGACCGGATCGACCTGGAAAGGAACCCGGATTACTGGGGAACGCCGGCAAAGCTCGACAATGTCACATTCAAGTTCATCTCCGACCCGACGGCGGCGTTTGCCGCGGTAATGGCCGAGGACGTCAATGCCTTTGTCGGTTTTCCTGCGCCGGAAAACCTGCCGCAGTTCGAGGCTGATCCGAGATTCCAGGTGCTCGTCGGTTCGACCGAGGGCGAAACAATCCTGGCGATGAACAACAAGCTGCCACCGCTTGACAACGTCAAGGTCCGGGAAGCCATCGCGCACGCGATTGACCGGCAGGCGATCATCGACGGTGCGATGTTCGGCTATGGCACACCGATCGGAACGCACTTCGCCCCGCACAATCCGGACTATGTCGATCTGACGGGATCAAGCCAGTATGATCCGGAGCTTTCGAAAAAACTCCTGGCCGAGGCCGGGTTTCCCGACGGCTTTGAAACAACGCTCAAACTCCCACCACCCTCATATGCGCGCCGGGGCGGTGAAATCATTGCCTCTCAGCTCAGGGCGATTGGCATCGAGACGGAGATAACAAACCTGGAATGGGCGCAATGGCTAGAACAGGTATTCCGGGGCAAGGATTATGGACTGACCATCGTCAGCCATACCGAACCGATGGATATCGGCATCTATGCGCGTCCGGACTATTATTTCCAGTACGGCACTCCGGAATTCCAGAAACTGTTCGCAGCAATCACCAGTGAAAACGATCCGGAAAAGCGCTCTGCGCTCCTGAAAGATGCGCAGGAGACGATCGCCGCGGATTACGTGAACGCCTACCTGTTCCAGCTGGCCTTTCCGACGGTTGCCGATGCTCGGATCAAGGGGCTCTGGAAAAACCAGCCGACGCAGGCAACAGACCTGACTGCCGTCTCCTGGGAAGAGTGACGCCTTGACACATGGGCGTCCGCTCCAGGTGGGCGCCTTTTATGCTCCTTCATCTTTTCTGTCCCGGAGACAACCTGCCGATAGGCGCGCGACCGGCTCATGCTGCAATATTTCCTGAAACGCCTGCTGTCTCTTGGGTTGAGCCTCGTGGCTGCATCCATCGTGATTTTCCTGGCCCTCGAAGTCGTGCCCGGAGACCCTGCCGCGTACATGCTTGGCATCAACGCACAGGAAGACACGCTGAATGCCCTGCGGGAACAGCTTGGTCTGAACGGTACGATCCTCCAGCGCTATCTGTCCTGGGCCGGCGGTCTGCTCGTCGGTGATTTCGGCACGTCCTACACCTACAGGATACCGGTGGCGGAATTGATTGGTGAACGTTTGTGGGTATCGCTGCCGCTTGCACTCTATGCCCTGACGCTCAGCACGATGATCGCCTTTCCGGCCGGAATCTGGGCGGCTTCCAGGCGCGGTTCCTATGTGGACACAGGCGTGATGGGGGTGACCCAGCTTGGTGTGGCGATCCCGAATTTCTGGTTCGCCATGCTGATGGTGCTGGTCTTCGCGATCAATCTGCGCTGGTTTTCCGCAGGCGGCTTTCCAGGCTGGGACGAAGGTGTGCTTGCAGGTCTCAAAGCTCTGACTTTGCCTGCGGTTGCGCTTGCGCTGCCGCAGGCAAGCATTCTGACACGCGTTATGCGCTCCAGTCTGCTCGATACGCTCGGGGAGGATTTCATACGCTCCGCCCGGGCAAAGGGGCTCACAAGAGGTCAGGCAATGTGGCGCCATGCCTTGCGCAATGCGTTGATCCCGGTCCTCACCATCATGGGGCTCCAGTTCTCGTTCCTGCTGGCCGGCGCGATCATTATCGAGAATGTCTTTTATCTGCCCGGTCTTGGTCGCCTGGTCTTTCAGGCGATCAGTTCCCGCGATCTGATTGTCGTCGAAAGCGTGGTGATGCTTCTGGTCTTTGCTGTCATCCTCGTCAATTTTTCCGTCGACCTCGCCTACGCGCTTGTCGATCCGCGCTTGCGGGGTCGGCGATGAAATTGCTTCTGCACAACAGGTCCATGCTACCCGGTGTCATCCTGACAATTATCTTTGCGGGTGCGGCGATTGTCAGTCTGGTCTGGGTGCCCTACGACAGTACGATCCTGAACATCGCCGACCGGATGAAGACTCCAAGTCTGATACATCCATTTGGAACCGATCAGTTCGGCCGGGATATCCTGAGCATGATCATGGTCGGTGCGCGCACCTCCATCGCAGTCGCGCTGGTGGCGGTCGGCATCGGCATGCTGGCGGGAGTGCCACTTGGTCTGGCAGCAGCTGCCCGCAGGGGCAGCCTTCCGGACGAGATCATCATGCGCACGAACGATCTTGTTTTCGCCTTTCCCAGCCTGTTGATCGCGGTGATGATCACCGCCGTATTCGGGGCATCGGCACTGAATGCGATCATCGCCATCGGGATCTTCAACATTCCGGTCTTCGCGCGGCTGACGCGCGGCGCGGCCCTGACGCTTTGGAGCCGTGAATACATCCTGGCGGCGCGGGTCGCCGGAAAGGGCGCGGCCCGTATCTCGGTGGAGCATATCCTGCCGAACGTGACCAACCTGCTTATTGTTCAGGGAACCATTCAGTTTTCTCTCGGCATCCTTGCCGAGGCAGGTCTGAGCTATGTCGGGCTCGGGGCGCAACCGCCGACGGCGAGTTGGGGGCGCATGCTCGCGGACAGCCAGACAATGATCTCTCTTGCACCGCATCTGGCTCTGTTTCCGGGCCTCGCCATCCTGCTGACGGTTCTCGGTCTCAATCTGCTGGGCGATGGTTTGCGCGACCTGCTCGACCCGAAGCTCAGGAGGGCGCGAACGTGAGCCTTCTTGTTGTCGACAACCTGTCGCTATCGATCCACGGGACACCCATCCTCAAGGATGTCTCGATGAAGGTCGATCCCGGGCGGATTCTGGGCGTGATCGGCGAAAGTGGCTCAGGCAAGTCTATGACCGCGTTCAGCGTTCTCCACCTGTTGCCGAACGGCGCGGACCTGAGCGGGAACATATCGCTGGCGGGACAAGACATTCTGAGCTGCAGCGAACAGCAACTCTGCGGCATTCGCGGACGGGACGTCGGCATGGTGTTTCAGGAACCCATGACCGCGCTGAATCCGCTGCAGACTATCGGCGCACAGGTCGCAGAAACGATCCTCATTCATGAACGGGTACCGAAAGCCGAAGCCCTTGCGCGGGCGGCCGAGGCCTTGCGCCGGGCCGAGTTGCCCGAGGAGAAATTCCCGCTGTCGCGCTATCCGCACGAGCTGTCAGGTGGTCAGCGGCAGCGGGTGGTGATTGCCATGGCAATTGCGCTCCGCCCGAAACTCCTGATCGCGGACGAACCGACAACGGCACTTGATGTGACCACCCAGGCGCAAATCCTGGCGCTTCTGAAACGGCTGGTCGCCGAGGACGGCATGGGACTGATGCTGATAAGCCACGACCTGGCGGTCGTCGCCGATCTGGCAGACGACCTTGTTATCATGCGCAGGGGCGAAATCGTCGAGAGCGGCGCCGCGCAACATCATTTTCGCAATATGCGGCATCCCTATTCACGCGCACTGCTCGAAGCTTCAGGTCATGTACCCGAACGAGCAACCCCGGCCAGGACAATGCCGCTGCTTCGGCTGCAAAATGTGGTTCGGGAATATGATAGCCACGTTCACGGGTGGTGGGGAAGGATAGATCGGTTCCGCGCGGTTGACGAGGTCAGTTTCGAAATTCGCAAGGGTGAAAGCCTGGGGCTTGTCGGGGAATCAGGTTGCGGCAAGTCCACGCTGACCCGTGCAATCCTTGGTCTGGAAGAAATCCAGGGCGGTGAGATACTGCTCGATGGAAAGCCGGTGGCAAATGATCACCAGGCCAACAGGGATGTGTGCCGGCGCATGCAGGTTGTCTTTCAGGACCCCTATGGCAGTTTCAACCCTCGATGGCGCGTTGACCGTCTGATAACGGAGCCGTTTCACTTGCTTGACGATCCCCCGCGTGGATCCGTGCGTGAGGCGGCAATCGTCGAAGCGTTGGAAAGCGTCGGGATGACCGCAGATGACAGCGACAAGTACATTCACGAATTCAGCGGCGGACAGCGTCAGCGGATCGCGATCGCGCGCGCGCTCATCATCAGACCCGAGTTGATCATACTGGACGAGGCAGTTTCCGCGCTCGATGTATCGGTGCGCGCTCAGGTGCTGGACCTCCTTGCGGATCTCGGCGACAGATTCGGTCTCACCTATTTGTTTATTTCCCCCGACCTCAGTGTCGTTCGCTCGATTACCGAGCGCGTGCTTGTCATGAAGTCCGGCAGGATCGTCGAGGAGGGGCCAACAGATCGTGTTTTCGACAGGCCGCAGCATGACTACACCAAACAACTCGTTGCCGCGACGCCGGTTCTGCCGGCTGATGTAGCCTGAAGGAGGCACCATGACTGACGTTCTGGACCTGTGGTTTGATCCGTCCCGTTGCCTGATAAACGGCAACTGGGTTGCTCCGGCGGGCGGTCGGCACCTGCCGCTGCACAACCCCTCGACCGGCGAAAGGATAGGTTCGATTGCAAGGGGAGCGGCTGAAGATGTCGATGCGGCGGTCGCAGCCGCACACGTCGCCTGGCAGGGTACATGGGGCAAAACGACTGCGGTTGAGCGCGGGCGTCTTCTCTTCAAGCTGCGCGAACTGGTCCTGGAAAAGGTGGAGGATCTGGCGCGCATCGAGGCCATTGATGTGGGCAAGCCGCTGAAGCAGGCCCGGGCGGATGCGATCGCCCTTGCACGATATCTCGAATTTTACGGCGGTGCTGCTGACAAACTTCATGGGGACACCATTCCCTATCTGGACGGCTACACGGTCTACACATTGCGAGAACCGCACGGCGTCACGGGACATATCGTACCCTGGAACTATCCGATGCAGATCATCGGCCGTTCGGTCGGAGCTGCGCTTGCAACCGGCAATGCATGCGTTCTGAAACCTGCCGAAGATGCCTGCCTGACGGCGCTTGCCTTTGCGGACCTGGCCGTGAAAGCCGGGCTGCCTGCAGGTGCCCTGAACGTCGTTCCGGGTCTTGGCGCCGAGGCAGGCGCGGCGCTTTCGGCCCACCCTGGGGTGCATCATGTCAGCTTCACCGGTTCGGTGGCCACGGGAGTCCAGGTTCAGACCGCGGCAGCAAGAAACGTCGTTCCCGTTACGCTTGAACTAGGCGGCAAATCCCCACAGCTCGTATTCGCGGATGCGGACCTCGATGCCGCGCTTCCCTTTCTGGTCAACGCGGGGATCCAGAACGCCGGTCAAACCTGTTCGGCCTCATCCCGGATACTCGTTCATCGGTCGATTCAGGATCGGCTTGTTCAGCGCATGGCTGAAAGGTATACGGCGCTCAAGGTCGGTCCGGCGCTTGCCGACCTCGATGTCGGTCCCCTGATCTCGGCCAGGCAGCAGGGGATTGTCTCAAGCTTTCTGGATCGGGGCGATGATCTTGAGAAGGTGGCCGAAGGGTCTTTCCAGGATGCCCCGGAAGGCGGGAGCTACGTCAGGCCGACACTGTTTGCAGGTGTCTCGCCCTCCCACACCCTGGCGCGTGACGAGATCTTCGGTCCGGTGCAGGTCGTCATTCCGTTCGATGATGAGGATGAAGCCGTCGCGATAGCCAATGGCACAGATTACGGGCTTGTTGCCAGTATCTGGTCGCGAGACGGCGCACGGCAGTTGAGACTGGCCAGGAAAATCCGCTCCGGGCAGATTTTTATCAACAACTACGGTGCGGGCGGCGGTGTCGAATTGCCTTTCGGCGGCATCGGCACGTCCGGCCATGGGAGGGAGAAGGGCTTCGAAGCGCTTTATGGCTTCACGACACTGAAGACCGTCGCGGCCTATCACGGGTGAAGGACATGTCTTGAAGCGCGATACGGATCGAATTTGGCACTATCAGGAAGAGACAGGCATACGAAACCAAGGTCCGTTGTTGTTCACGATATGCCCGCCCTTGCCTTGAGCCGGGGTCGGTCAACCTGGTGGTGACCAGGTCCCGGATCAGGTCCGTGACAGCATCCAGACGGAACCCTCGCGTCAACGCGGCAGGCAGCGCGGGACATTGCGCGACCCGAGCCTGGATGACGGAAGGAAAAGGCAGGAGAAACAAATGAGATTGCAGGGAAAAACGGCCATTGTCACCGGAGGTGCGTCGGGCTTCGGGGCTGGAATTGTACGCAAGTTTGCAGCAGAAGGCGCGAAGGTTCTGATCGCTGATCTCAATATAGACATGGCGGAGGAGATTGCAGGCGAAGTCAGAGGTGTCGCCATGAAAGTCGATGTGGCCAGCAATGCCAGTGTTCAGTCGCTGGCTGAAGCGGCAGCACACAGTATCGGCTCTGTCGACATTCTCGTGAACAACGCCGGGGTGACCCATCTTCCCATGCCCATGCAGGACGTGAGCGAGGAGGAGTTCGACAGGGTATTCGCGGTCAATTGCAAGTCGGTCTACCTGACCGCACGCCATTTTGTGCCATTGATGACCGCCGCAGGGACCGGTGCGATCTTGAATGTTGCGTCCACGGCCGGTCTCAGCCCGCGTCCGAGACTCAACTGGTACAATGCATCCAAGGGCTGGATGATCACGGCGACCAAGACGATGGCCGTGGAGCTCGCACCTTCAGGGGTACGCGTCAATGCAATCTGCCCGGTTGCGGGTGAGACGCCCTTGCTGAAGAGTTTCATGGGAGAAGACACACCCGAGATACGGGCGAAATTCCTGTCAACGATCCCGATTGGACGATTCTCGACACCGGAAGATATGGGCAATGCAGCCTGTTTCCTGTGTTCTGACGAAGCTGGAATGATCACGGGCGTTGCGATGGAAGTTGATGGTGGGCGTTGCGTGTGACAGAACCACACAAACCGAAGAAAGCAACGGCCATCGTGAGGCCGGCCAAGGTGTAACCGAAACAAGCATTTGAGGAAAAGATGATTGAACGCAAGCACGTCTCTGCCCGCATGAGCAAGATTGTGAAGCACAACGGCGTGGCCTATTTGTGCGGCCAGGTCGGAAACGCTGGCGACAGCGTTGCTGACCAGACAAGCGAATGCCTGTCCCGCGTCGACGCATTGCTTGAAGACGCCGGGTCTTCAAGAGAAAAAATGTTGCAGGCGGTTATCTGGCTTGCCGATATGTCGGACTTCGCCGAGATGAATGCAGTCTGGGACGCATGGGTTCCGGAGGGGTATGCACCGGCCCGTGCGTGTGGCGAAGCAAAGCTCGCAAGACCTGAACTCAAGGTGGAAATCATTGTCACGGCGGCATGTGACTGACTGCAAGAGTATTTCCCCAAAACGGGTGACATTTCGAATTGGGTGAGGCCCGGCAGAATGCTGAACGAGATGACATGGCTGAGAAAACAATCGTGACGTCACTCGCCTTTGTATGACGGGCAATCAGTTTGGGTCTTTCGATCACGTCTTTGTTTGAAAAAGGGGTTTGTCAACGGCGCGGAAAGGGTCAGTATCCCGAAGCTTCGCTTGGGAAGCGGCATGAGTGTTTACAGGGATACTGAAAAAATGATCAAGGTACACGGCCGTATTTCGTCCGCCAACGTTCAGCCGGTGATCTGGTGCCTGGAAGAGCTCGGGGTTGAGTACGAGCGACTGGATGTCGGTGGCCCGTTCGGCGGCAATGACACCCCCGGGTATCTGGCAATGAATCCCCTCGGACTGGTGCCGGTTCTCGAACAGGATGGGCAGGCTTTGTCCGAATCCGCCACAATCCTGCGATACTTGGTGCGCCGCTACGGTGGCCATCCGGTCGACCCCATGGCCGCTGCACAGATCGAGCGCTGGGGGGACATGTCGAGGCAGCATATTTACACACCCCTGATCCCGACAATATTCTGGCAGACCATCCGGACACCGGCGAATGAACGCGACAATGCAGCCGTTGCGAGTGCGGCCGGCGTGCTCAGGCAATCGATGCAGATCGTTCAGGATATGATCGAAGGGGCCTTCATCGGCGGCGATTCGCTTAACCTGGCTGACTTCCAGATTGGCAGTCTTCTTTACCGGTACTACGAGCTCGAATTTGAGCGGGCAGACCTGCCGGGCCTGCGCGCTTATTATGATCGTTTGTGCGATCGGCCCGCCTACCGTGACTTCGTCATGATCGATTTCATGGGCATGAAGGTTCCAGGCGCCTGACAACGGTTACCTGCCAGGCAAAAAAGAGGCCGCCCGGTGGGGTGGGCGGCCCGAAGTCGAATTGCGGGGTAGAGGGAATTTTCCGGACCGGCCCCGCATATCGGTCCAGAGAAAATCTGCATCGGCTCCGGCTCAGCCACCTTCAGTCAGAAAATCCAATACGGCACGGTTAAAGGCTTGCGGTGCGTTGATGTTGGCAACGTGAGCCGCGTCCGGAATCTCGACGTATCGTCCACCCGGCGTCGCATCGGCCATCGCCCGCATGACGTCCGGCGCAGCGCCCTTGTCGTGGCTGCCGCCCACATAAAGGGTCGGAATAGTGATCTTGTGGAGGTGCCGGTAGTAGTCGAGACCTTGCAACGCCCGGCAATTCGAGATGTAACCTTCCGGTTCGTGAGACAGGATCATGCGCTGAATTTGCCCGGCCGCTTGTGGATTGGCCTCGATCCAGTCAGGTGTGAACCACGTTGCCATCGGTCCTTCGACGATCCCCGCCATGCCGTTTTCTTCGACCTTGCCGATTCGATCGTCCCACATGGCCCTGAAGGGCGGTGGCGCGTCCGAACGCCCGTCTGCACAGACCACGCGCTCGATCCGCTCCGGATATGTGATAGCAAGTCCGAGCCCCGTCATGCCGCCTTTGGAAAGACCCATGAATCGGGCCGTTTCAATGCCCAGCTTGTCCATCAGGCCGATCACGTCGCCAACAAGCTGATCAAAGGTGTAAGGACCTGGCGGAACGTCTGATTTGCCGTGACCGCGCGTATCATATCGCAGCACCTGAAAATGTTTTCCGAGCTCGGGAATTTGTGGGTCCCACATCTCCGCGCTTGCACCGAGAGAATTCGACAGGATCAGCCAGGGTGCGCCTTTGGGGCCGTCTATATAGGTTTGAAGGCTATGATTGCCGAGATCGACGCGTCCCGTCATTGCGCAGCCTGCGTTTTGGAGGAAATGGCGGCGTTGAACGCGGGTTTCACCTTTTCGGCCAGCAGGACCATTGAGCGTCTGCCAAGTTCCGGATCGACCCAGTCCTTGCCGGCATAAAGCAATGTGCCGAAGTCGCCGACGGTCTCCCTGTATGCCAGGAGGTCATCGGTCACCTTGTCGGGTGTTCCCCAGGTGACCAGGTTTTCCAGGACACTCTCCAGCGTAACTTCCTCGTCGGGCTGATCGCGGTGTGTCTTGAAAAGGCCAAGGCGGTTGTTCTTGCGCATCTTGGTGAGGATCTGCTTGTAGTAGAACCGGTACGGACTGTCCGGGCCGAGTGCATATTCACGGGCGGTGTCCAGATCGTCGGCAACAAAGACAGACCTTGCAACACGCCAATTCTCGGTCAGCGCGGGCCGACCGATCCGCTCGCAGCCCTCGACATATTTCGGCCAGTGGCTGGCGACCCACTGAGGCATCAGAAAGTTCGCGCTGATCGGATCCCAGCCTCGGGCGGCCGCCTCTGTGACGCCCTTGGAAAACGGTGCGACGGCAGTCACGACGATGGGCGGATGCGGTCGCTGCAGAGGCTTCGGCATGATGCCCTGGCCGATTTCGGCCATGCTGGTGCGTTCGGTCGTGATCTTCCAGTACTTGCCTTCGATGTTGTAGGGCGCTTCACCTTCCCAGATCTTCAGGACGGTGTTGATGCCTTCCAGAAACATTTCGTTGCGGTCAGCGTCCAGATTGCCGAAAACTTCCGCGTCAGACAGGAGACCTCCAGGCGAAATGCCGAAATTGAACCTGCCGTCCAGCATGTGATCAAGCATGGCGACCTGAGCTGCAACGGCCGCCGGATGGGCATTGGGCATGTTTACCGTACCGGTTCCAAGGCGCATGTTTTTGACGGCGCTCGCCAGCGAAGCGATGAACATGGCGCAGGAAGTGATGTTTTCGGCCTGGTCGGTGACATGCTCACCACAATAAGCTTCCGTGAAACCCAACTCGTCCGCGAGCAGGAAAGCTTCCCTGTCTTCCTTGAGCGTCAACCGCCAGTCTTTATCCAGCGGGTGGATCGGCATCGTAAAGAAACCGAGTTCCATGGGCCTTCTCCTCCAAAGCGCGTGTCATTGATCTGGATCAAACTTTATTCCGGGGCTGGTGTTTGGGAAAATTATAAGTACTAAACTGAGCTATCAAGAAATCTAATGAGGTTCGGATGATATCACTCCGGCAAATGCGGTCAGTTGTTGCAGTCGCTGAAGAGGGGTCTTTTACGCGGGCTGCGGCGCGGGAGAATGCGACCCAGTCTGGAATTTCACAGCATGTCGCGGCCGTTGAGGATGTCCTGGGAATTCGGCTTTTCGAGCGGACAAGCGACGGTGTGCTTCTGACACCTGCCGGAAACCGGTATTATCAGAAAGTGCTGGCGGTCTTGCGCGGTGCCGAGGAGGCGATCATTGATGCCCGGAACCGGCGGGATACGCTTTCAGGCGTCGGGCACGCCGGGATCATGCCGGTGCTTGCCCGCGCAGCTCTTGCGCCGGCACTGGATCACATGGCCTGTCACCATCCCGATGTGTCGATCCACATCATCGAGGGCTATAGCGGTGCGTTGACAGACAGTGTCAAGGCGGAAGAGCTTGATTTTGCGATTGTTCCCGCCTTCGGAGGCGCTGTGGGCCTGAATGTGCGCCATCTTGCACAGGACCGGGAAATGATAGTTGGCGGGGTTCAAAGTGGAGTCGTGCACGGCAAGCCGGCGCGCCTGCAGGATCTTGCCCCCTTGAAGCTGGTTACGCCTTCAAGCATCAACATTCGCAAGACACGCATCGAGGAGTATCTCGCTACCCATTCGATTCGCGTGGAACGGATCATGGAACTTGATGCAATGCTCGGCACGCTCGATTTTGTCGCCCGCTCGGACTGGGTCACGATCCTGCCGGGCGTCATTTGTGCCCCGGACAGGGACGGATCGGTGCGCCGGATCGCCCCGCTGGACCAGCCGCCGCTCTTCCTGGAATTCGTCCAGATCGAACCTGCCCGCCGCCCGCTGTCTGCACAGGCACAGGTTTTTCTGGAAGAGTTGAAGAAGGAAGTCGCCAAACTCGTTGCGCGGTAAGTGATTGGGCACCGATTTGCGATAAGCGGCAGCGTCCGGCTAGTCGACGGTAAAAGCGCCGAGTTGGCCTTTGCCGAAGGCGAGTGGGGTTTTTTCGCTGCTCATGTGTGCAACGACCCGGCCAATGAAGATTTCATGGTCTCCGCCTTCGTGAACGGCATGTGTCTCGCATTCGAGTGAGGCCGCGCAGCCGGCGATGCAAGGGACACCGTGAGTTCCTGCAGTCCAATCCAGTCCCGAAAACCGGTCCCTCTCGGCGCTGGCAAACAGTTTGCAAAGTTCCGTCTGTTCAGCTGAAAGGATGTTGATCGCAAATCCCGGATGCGCCCTGTATTCTGGAAGGCTGCCGGCCTTGCGGGCAAGGCTCCAAAGGACCAGAGGCGGGTCCATTGAGACGGAATTGAAGGAACTGATGGTTACGCCGACAGGATCTCCTGTTCTCGACAGCGTGGTTGCAATCGCAACACCAGTCGGAAAGCAGGACAGCGTCTGGCGCAGCGCTTTCGGGTCGATGGCAAAGTCTTTGGAACCGGTCATTGCGTTCATTGATCCCCTCCTTTGGTTGCCTTCGAACATAGTGAGGTGCGACATTATGACAAATTATAAGATGTGATCACGAAGATCAGAATTATTGATATTTCGATATTCACCCATGCGCGGGCAACAAGCCCGTAAACTGCCACCAGAAAATTGTCAGTGGCAGCCCCAAAAGCACAACGGCGGCAAAAAGTGCCAGGCAGATCCGGGTTAGCAACCCGGTGGAGATATCGGCAAGCGACATGGCAATGAGAAGTGGAGGTGCCTGGTAGGGCAGAAGCGGGCTCGCAATCCCGATCATCTGGACCATTGCAACTGTTACGATCGGCAAACCGGTCGCCGTTGCCAGCGGTTCGGCAAACGGCGCAAGAACGAGCGGTGCAGCCGGTGCCGTTGTCAGATGCGACAACACGACGGAAAACCCGAATACGGCATAGATGTTCCAGAAATCCCGACCCGGCTCCAAGGCCAGCTTCCCGATCAGTGTATTGGCCAGCGCAACATCCAGACCGACGTGACGGGCAAGCGCGCTGACGCAAAAGATCGCGCTGAACAGCAGTGCCGGTGTGAGGTCAATCTTGTCCTTCATCGCGGACTTGGGAAGAATTTCCATCTTCGGCCAGAGCACGAGAGTGGCAACCGCGAGTGCGATCCAGGCTGGCTGGATACCGTGCGCGAAGTCGCTCGCCCAGAGCGTGATTGCGCACACGAGCAGCACGAGAAGACGTGTCTGGGGTGCCGTCAGCTTTGCTCCGGCGCCGGGCTGGAGGTGTTGGGGATCGGGTTTGTCCGTGCTGAACCGCCACAAGACGGCCAGAAGGACGGCAAAGCGCAGCAGATTGACCGGAAACTGGGCCAGAAAATAACCGGAATAGGTCGTTTTCAGGCCATACAGGCTTTCCAGAGCGCCAAACTGGACGATTGTCGGCAGGTTGGCCGTGTAGATGGCGTAAGTCGGCAACAAGGTGCTGACGGCAGCTGTGGCACAAAGGCCCATCGTCCCGCGGCTTCCGGCCGGAAAACCAAGAGAAGTGCCAAGTGATACGGCGACCGGGATCAGGATCAGAACGCGTGGAATGGTGGAGGGAATGAGAATGCCAAGCAGGAACCCGGCTGTTGCCACGACCAGAACGGCCCTCTGATAGGACAGGCCCGAAAGCGCGAGCATCCGGTTCGAGATTTGCGTCCCGAGTCCCGTGGTAACGACCGCGACCCCCAGTACGATGCCTCCGACGAGAAGCCAGAATCCCCCTGACGCAAGTCCTGAAAAGACGATTCCGGCCGGTGCGACCGCAACGGCGAGGCTGATCAGAAACACCAGCAGGGTGGCCACGATGTCGGGGACGACCCGTGTCGCGAACAGGGCGATCGAAAAGAGCCCGGTCCCGGCTACGAGAAAGAGATCTTGCCGTGTTGCCTCCGACTGGAACCCGAAGGCCATCAGGGTCGCGGCAGCGAGAGCCGCGACGATCAATGCTGCTGGGGCCAGGGAGAGTTTCACTGACAGGCCCTAGGGCAACAGCAGGGACGACCCCGTCGTTGTTCCCGCCTCCAGTGCCCTGTGCGCCTCGACAACATCCCTGAGCGGCCATGTCTGGTTGATGTTCACCGACAGATGACCCGCCAGGATCATGTTGAATACCCGGTTTGCCGAGTGCTCGAGATCCGCACGCGGGCCGACATAATTCGCAAGCGTCGGGCGGGTGAAATAGAGCGAACCGGCCTTCTGCAACAGGCTGGGCGGAACGGGGGGAGCCTCTCCGGTCGTTGCACCGAAGGAAACGAACATGCCGTAAGTGGCAAGCGAAGCGATGGAAGTATCGAATGTTGCCTTGCCGATACTGTCATAGACCACCGAAACGCCCTTGCCGTCCGTCAGCTGGTTGACGCGTTCCGCGATGTTTTCCGATGTCCGGTCGATCGCGTCCGTGTAGCCCAGTTTTCTGATCGTTGCACAGCTCTCCTCACCGGAAGTGACGCCGATCATCCGGGCACCAAGATATTTGCCCCACTGGCCGGCAAGCTGGCCGACACCTCCGGACGCGGCAAAGAACAGGACATCCTGCCCGGACCGGACCTTGAAGCAGCGTTCCAGCAGATACTCAGCGGTCATGCCCTTCATCAGGACGGCGGCGGCAGTCTGGTCCGTGATGCCATCGGGTATCTTCAGAATGCGTGCAGATGGTGCGTTGCGCACTGTCGCGTAAGCGCCCAGCACGCCGCCATAGACGACGCGATCGCCGACGCTGAACCCTTCCACCTCGGGGCCGAGTGCCGTGATCCGGCCGGCGGCCTCAAGTCCGAGCGGGCTCGGAATGACGAGCGGGTAGTGACCTGAGCGCTGATAAATATCCATGTAGTTCAGGCCGATGGCCGTCTGCTCGATCTGGACTTCGCCCTTTCCTGGTGGTGGAACGTCGTAGGGTTCCATCTTCATGACTTCGGGCGCTCCTTGCCCGGTCAGCATGATACGTTGCGCCTGCATGGCGGTCTCCGATGTGTTGGAAGTGATCAGACGGTTGCATCCCCGGATTCAACGACGACGGTCTGAACTTCACCGGCCCCGTTCGCCCTTCGATGGGCAGCTGCCTTTTGGTACTCATCCGACTTGAAGCAATTGACGCCGGCTTCAAGTGTCGGGAATTCTATGACCACGAAACGATGGAAATGATCTGGTCCTTCCATTATCTCGTAGTCGCCGCCGCGCGCAAGAACCTTGCCTCCATGATCTGCGATGATATCCGGAACAAGGTCGGTGTATTTCTTGTATTCGACCGGATCGTTGATCCTGGCGCGCGCCATCCAGTAAGCGGGCATGTTTTCCTCCGGTAATCTACATCAGGGTTTCAGGGAGCCAGTTGGCGATTTGCGGAAAGGCGATCAGCAGGATGGCGGCAAACAGCATGATCCCCCAATAGGGGATCGAACTGAGAAAGATTTCCTGCACACCGACCTCGGGGTCCTCGATGGCTGCCTTGACCGTGTAGACAAGCAGCCCGAATGGCGGGGTCAGGAGCCCGGCCTCTATGGCCAGGATACCGACGATCGCAAAACTCAGACGGTCGAAACCAAAGGCAACCGCGATAGGTTCGACGATCGGAACCGTCAGCAGCATGATCGAGATACTGTCAATGACCATGCCCAGAATGAACCAGATCAGCAGGATGACGGTCAGTACCTGCCATGCCTCCAGTCCGGAAGAGATGAAATACTCGCGAATAGCTGTTGTCACGCCGGTCATGGCCAGCGTCCGGGAATAGAGCGCTGCGCAGAACAACAGGATCAAGATTGGGGCCGCGGTCTTGCCGACGGCATAGACCGCTTGCATGAATTGCGGCCAGGTCAGTCCCTTTGTCATGGCGAACAGCAGGGCCAGTGCCGCTCCGGCTCCGGCACCTTCCGTCGGGGTGAAAATTCCGAACCAGATGCCGCCAAGCACGGCAAGGATGATGCCGAAGACGCCGGTCATGCTGGACAGGAACTGGCCGGTGCTCATCTCGACCCGGTCGGCGGCCGCTTCCCGCTGCTGTGAACCGGAACGGTTTTCGCCGACAACCTCCGGGTTCATGATTGCAGAAACGATTATGTAGCCGAGGAACAGACTTGCCAGCAGGATGCCGGGTAGAACGCCCGCAAGAAAAAGTCGGCCGATCGACTGCTCGGTCAGGATGCCCCAGACAATCATCAGCACCGACGGCGGGATCAGCATGCCAAGGCAGCTGGAACCCGCGATTGCGCCGAGCGCGAAACCACGCCTGTAGTTGAAGGCTTTCATCTCCGGATAGGCAATACGTGAGAAGGCAGCAGCCGAGGCGATCGACACACCGGTCACAAAGGAGAAAATCGTATTGCCGAGAACGGTTGCTATGGCGAGGCGCCCGGGCAGGCGCCGGATGCCCCGGTTGATGCCATTGTAGACATCGGTGATCGCCCCGGATCGGCCGATAAATTCACCCATCAGCATGAAAAGCGGGATCACCGCGAAGGTGAAGTCGCGCAGAGCCTCCGCGGCAGTCGAGGCAACGGTAGCCTCCACGATGCGCATTTTGCCGGTCACCAGATAGATCCCGACCGCGCTGGAAATGCCCAGGGCGACGGCCACATGAACGCCGAGCAGTACAAGGCCCAGCAAACCTCCGATGACAATGAGGGCAGTCCCGAAATCAAACAAGAAGCTTTACCCTCACCGGAATTTCAGTCGGTCGGATAAGCCAAAGGCTTCGATAACCGCCAACAGGAGATAGTTGAAGGCAGCCAGGCCGCTGCCGAAGATGATCGTGAATCGTGCCGGCCAGACCGGAACACGCAAGGCGCCCTCGCCATCGAATTCGCCATTGGCAAAGGATCTGAGTGCCGGTTTGATGCCGGCTTTCATCAGGAACAGGAAGAAGGCAGCTCCAAGAAGAAGGCCCAAAACCACGATGAATTTGCGGAGAGTCGGGTTGAAGGCGTCGATCAGGAAATCCGCCTGTAGCATCGACCCGGAGCGGACCGCGAACCCCAGCTGCAGGAAAACGATCATCACGACCGAATTGGCGACGATCTCCTTTGTGCCTTGCAGCGGCATGTTCAGCGCGCGGAAGATGATGTCCGCAAGAATGAAAAAACACAGGATAATCGCCCAGGCGGCGGCCAGGATCATGAGAAGTTTCGTAAGGCGGTCGGTCACCTTGATCAGGAACATGGATCTTCAGCCGTTTCGAAGGTCGGCCGCGGCAGGGCCGCATCGCCTGGAGGGAAAAGAGATGCTGCAGCCTGTCCGGCCGCAGCATCAGTTGGCTGCGCGTTGTTACTTGATCTCGTAGCGGACCGGCCAGTTGTAGCCACGGTCCTCGGCCTTATCGAGTACCAGGTTCAGCACCTGTTTGGCCGGCAGACCCTGGCCTTCAAGGTCATCGGCCATCTGTTGTGGCCAATCCTTCAGGCTTTCCGCCCAGGCCTCGCGAACCGCGGGGTCTATTTCGGTCACTGTGATGAGTTCGCGCAGTTCTTCCACCAGCCGCGCGTATTCCTTCTGGTTCACGATCCCGGTCTGCTCTTCGTAGTCCGCCGCGACCTCGTGCAGGATCTCCTTAACGTCGTCGGGCAGTTCGTTGTAGGTATCCTGATTGATGGTAAGGCCGTGCCAGGTCATCGAGCCGAATCCGATCAGGGTATAGTAGGGACCCGGTTCATAGAGCTTGAGGTTTACCCATGCCGACGGGAACATGATCCAGCCTTCGTAAACGTTGGTATTCATTTCCGTATAGGCGGTGGCCAGCGACGACTGGACAGGCGAAACACCGGCGTATTTCAGCCAGTTCAGATTGAGCCCCGCCCCGGCGATCTTCTGGTCTTTCAGATCTGCAAGCTTTTCCCAGGAAAACGACGTGCCGAGATTGTAGCCGCCGTCGGCGATGCGGGACAGCAGGACCTGGTTGAACTTCTGCGGGAAGACATCCGTCAGATAGGGAACCTCGGCATATACGTCCTGGGCAATCTGCAG